CTCTTCGTATATCAAGTGTACTATTGAATTTTGACCATTTCATGCATTACGCTAAACGTGCTTCTCCGAATTCGAAGTAAACATGTGGATTGTTGGACAACCATACGTAGCACTATTTATTATCATTATCAAAATTTTACCTTTTTATGTCAACTCTAAACTTTTAAGAATTGCTTTTCACTGAATTCCTGTCAAGATTTTTTAAGTCTGAAAGCGTTTTTTCTCAAAGTACACTTCAGGGACAGTTTTGATAAAACATGAAATGTCCAACAGAATCAATGGTTGTCGTTTTATTTCATATGTGCGGTAAATTGAAATGGCTCAAAAATTGAACCTCAAATTATGAGAAAACCGACCTGGTACACTTTGTATTCAACTTTGGGACACTGAAGGACACCCAAAGTACAATTGATATGAACATATCTCAACCCTGGAATCTGACATAGCCGGCAAATTGAATATACATCGTTTATATTAACCCTCAACTGCATGAATTGTTCCCAGGACTGGAAGTACTGGTACTTGGTTAATTTTTGGCCATAGATAACGAAAAAAATATTGATCATCCTTAATTCCTGATGGTTTAGTCAGAAAATGCGTTTGACATAAATCCGAAGGGTTGTAACAGTGATATGATCGGCACATGAGCACCATCTCTACTGATTGCCATTATTGCAATGTAAATGAATAGAATGTCTGTTTCTTCTTCTTCTTCTTTTTCTCAACATCAATTGCATCTGACTTATGGTAACTCTCCGTAATCATTAGTGGTGGCGCTACTTATGCGCATCAATTGACTTTTGCATTAGCTCTTATGTACTGTGCGTGCCTTTTGCATAAATCAGAGAACAATCAAATCCATTGTTTAAAAATGTCAAAAATGTGTCTAATTTTGGGGGGGAGTAATTTATTTTGTCAAATTGTTGTTTTCCAGCACATTTTTGTTTAAAACGCAATAACCGCACTACATAGATAAATGGTTCCAAAGACAAAAATAAAGAGAAAACATTGATGAATAAATAATCCCTTTAAAGCAATGTGATCCGACGTACGGTTCACATTATACAGGCGTTTAAATGAAGCCCGCCAAAAGGCGGGCTTATGCAGTTGAGGGTTAACTAATGTCTAATCAACAGTTGATGATTCCATTGCAGCCTGGAATGAACAGATTTTCATTCCAATCAAGTTAGTCTTGGGAATTGGTTAACTTCAAATTGATCCATCAATCAGATATATTGGAACGTTTCTTGGGGTTTTCAACAGAGGTTTTTGCCACCCGAATCGCCGCCGTACACACAACAAATGAATGTGAAATAAAGAAAAATAATTATTATTTTTTATTATCAAATTGAAGAAAAAAAACTTCCAACAAAGTCAGTTCTCATTCCGAAAGCGTACACCAATTTCTGAATAGATGAATTCAACATCCGTTCGAGATTTTTCGCAGACTAACAAGCAAATTGAACTCGTTCGAGATTATATTCTCATTTGATAACAAAATGCTCCATTGAATAGGAAAACAAGTGAAACATCGTTAATTTGAAAAATCATAAACAAACATATTCTGTGTCTGGGAATGTGCGAATAAAGAGAATAATTGGGATTGCTGATTTCAAATATCAACGGTCCCATATAGTGATAACACAGAAAAGAACCACAAACTCGTGCACTTTGCTTAATATGTACCCATGTAGAATATATTGCTATTCTTCCATAGAAAATTCGACTAATGATGAGGTTCATGTTCTTATCAATATCTCAGCCAGTATTTAGACGTGTAAACTAGTTGCAAGTAGGTCAGTTTGTTTTTGTACGAAGAAGCGCACAGCGTGTCAGCATTCAGCAAGATGAAGCTCCTTTTATTAGTCTCTATCATTGGCTTTGTTCAGGTTTGGCTAGTTTTTACTTTTGTTAGTTTTCGATCGCAAAATAACCAAAGTAGTAATTCTGTTTTAGCTTTGTTCGACTGCTCCAGCGACAACAAAAAAAGACGCTTTCAGAGAAACATTGTGTGACATTTCAGAAGAAGTAAAAGAGATTCCAAGTTTGGCTAATTTTTACTTTTGTAAGTTTTTGTTTGGAAGATAACCAAAAGAAAAATTCTGTTTCAGCTATGTTCGATTCCTCCAGAAAAAACTGAGAAAGACGTTTTGAAAGAAAAATTGGGTGACATTTCAAACAAAGTAAAAGCGATTCCAGCTGTCAATTCAGAATGGATTGATGAGCTCATCGATATTTTCAAGAAATACAGTGAACACAATCCATACAGTGTTCAATTGGAGATCATGGTATGTACTAAAATTATAAATTATCCACAATATTAATTACATTCACCTGATACCAAAAAAATCCCTTTTCAGGCTCGTTTCTACAGCTTGGGATTTGACCTAGATTTTACACAAGTGAATAACACCATTCATAAATTTTATCGAGATACTTACGGTTTTGGCGTAGATATTCCAACCGAAAATCGAACCTACCATCAATGCCTCATCGACTTTGTCGTAAAATCAAACTCACAACATAAATCCCGTGAAGAAATCAGAGCTATGGATGACGAGAATTTTAAAAAATTCAAGAGCACACTAACAAAGGGACTAGAGGCTACAAAATCTAGAGATTTGGATTACTACCTACAAATAGCTTATAATATTCTTAAAAATAGAACGGCGGGAGGAGTTGACGCAAATTTTGTGAGCATTGAGTTTTCTTAAGCATTCCACCGAAGAAAAATCACTCAAAATAATTTTGTTTATAGATTGACATACTTGCATCCATGTATCATATTGGCGCCGGTGTATCCAAAAGCGCTGCCTGTGGCGTTGTGGCAGAAGTATTCGAATGGAGATTCGATTGCAATATATATGCAAATGGCAAGAACATTTATTTTTCACAATTTCATTGCTTTTACCGCTTTATTTCGATTTTTTCATTTCCAGCAGAAGAAAAAGACGATTTGGAAGCAGAAAACGGTGCAGATCAATCCAGGAAAACCATATAGATACCACAACAAATACATCTGCATAAATGAACTTTTACATTTTATGACCTTAAAAATTGATTCGGGCAATAAATATCGGACAAAGTGTCATGTCAATGTGTTTTATTTTTTCATTTCTAGAGTTTTTGTGCCGTTATGTCGAATATTTGTTATACATGAAAATGTCTTCCGATTTGATTTAGTTTGATAAAAACTCTCTTTATCTCTTATCATCGACAATTCTAGCCTATGAAATGGTTGTATTTGATTTGATTTGTTTTCATACACGCAAAAAAGCACTCAAATCGAAAGGTGCAAGATCAGCGTTTGATAGAATGATCAACAGCAAGTGGAACAGAGCAGAAAATGAGATTCGCAGTAAAATAAATTCTCTTCAATTGATGTTGCCTTGCACATTCCTATCAACTTTTCAGTCAGTATTTAGGCGAGTAAACTAGTTGCAAATGCATCAGTTTGTTCTGTTTGCTCTTCAAAGAAACACACAACGAATCGACATTCAGCAAGATGAAGCTCCTTTTATTAGTTTCTATCATTGGCTTTGCCCAGGTTTGGATAGTGTTTAATTTTTTTAGTTTTTGTTTGGAAGACAAGTAAAAGGGAAATCTGTTTCACTTTGGTTTGGGTGCTCTAGCAATAACTAAGGACGACCCTTTCGATAAAAGTTTGATAGGAACATTTTGTGAAAAGGTTAAATTGATTCAGGGTGTCAATTTACAATCGGTTGATGAGTTTATCAATATTTTTAAGAAACTTGATTAGGTAAATCCATACAATGTTGTACTGGAAAACACGGTATGTACTGAAATCGAATTTGTAAATCATTCATAGAATTAATCTTATTCACTTGATAAAAATGTTGTTTTAGGCGCGTTTCTTCAGCATGGCATTTGACTTTGCAAAGGTGAATCAAAGCATTTATAACTTTGAGCGCGATGTTTACGGTTTTGACATAGATATTCCAACCGAAAATTGAACCTTCTATGAATGTTTGAGAGAACACTTCGAAAAATCATCACTAAATAAATTTTTTGAAGAATTCAAATCCATGCAAGAAGAGGATTTTCAACATTTGAAGAGCGCATTTACGAAGGGAGTGGAGGCTTCAAAAGCCAGACAAATTGATTACTTAGAACAAACAAATCATAATATCGCTCTAAAAGTTGTAAAGGAAAGAGAAACAACCCGTATAGAAGAAGATCCAATTCTGGTGTGTATTGACTTTTCTTTCGTACTTACAAAATAATTTGAAATGATTTTTGATCATAGATGAACATGTTTCATTACGGCGCCGGTGTATCCAAACGTGCTGCCTGTGGCATTGTGGCAGAAGAATTCGAATGGCGATTCGATTGCAATAAATATTCAATTTGTAAGGGAATTTATTTTCATGATGTCATTCATTCCAACTGCTCTTGCTTGAATGTCAAATGCATAGCAGAAGAAGAAAAATTATTTCTTCAATGAAACATACAGCAAACGGATTTCTTTATAGATAAAAGGCTTCTCTTTGTGTTTTCATGCTTTGTAAATTGGTTTTATTTAAATTGAAAATACAATTTGATTGAAAGATACATTGCTGATGAATTCGGCTATGTTTTTTTATTTTGTCTAGTTCATTTACGTTTGTGTATGCTTTCAAGTCATGAATAAAAAAATTAGTAGATATTTTGGCACGTCTTTTGGCACTCGGCATACGAGAAAAAGTTGTTTTGGTTACCACGGCAACCGCCATAGTTGAATGCAATGCAGCGGTTCTGCCCGCGATCGAATGCAAATCGGCTGTAAATACCACGGCAAGGACCTTCTTCAGCTGGCATTGAACAGATTTCTAAAATAGGAGAGAAGAGTCACATTTATTAGATTGACAAATTACAATATTGATTAGCTCTTAATTAAATACTTTATTCACTTTCGTTAGAAAATATGATTTATGATATGATGATCCTTTAATTAGGCAAATAAAAATGATTTTTTGTCCAATATTTACACAAAATTACCTGTGGCTTCATTGCGACTCATGCTACATTCTTGGCGCTGAGTACATTCACGTTGCTGATAGAATTGCTTACGTTTTTGGCATTCTTCGCGCTTTGAATCATCGCCCAAGAATAAACGTGTGCGAATAGTTACGCCTTGACCACAAGTTTGGCTGCATGGTGACCAATCGCTCCATTGAGTCACTGGACATTGTGGATCGGGCACCTCAATATCGTCCACTGAACATTCTGGCTGCATGCATTTATTCTTTTCGACTATTAAGATGAATTGGAAAGCACAATTTGACGAGAAAGAAAATAGAAAATTAAATTAACTCCAAATATTATTTGTTAAAATGAATGCGGCATATTTTATAAAACTTGAAATTCTTTCTATCGAAGATATTTGCGTTTCGAATTTCTGAATCAGAAAGCTAGTGGAATAATTACCGATTGTGATATGTGGACACTTCTTGCGGCCAGCATGGTCAACAAATGTTCGAGTTCTCATTGAAATGCCAATGCCACAAGTGGCCGAGCATGGTGAAAATTCAGTCCAAGGTGTTGTACGACAAACACCGATTCCCTCGCCAGTCGCATCAACATTGGCTGGGCCCAGTGATTCTTCCGGCTCATCATCATCTTCGGATCTTGTTAATTGTTTATGCATTTTTATTGTTACTAGTGTACTTTCACTCGTGTGATGATATTCATTTTCAAATCGGTTGATGAAAAATAAAAAATTAAATTACCTGCATTCGGGGATTGCAGCGGCACACATTTCCTTACTAACCAATTGGCGGTTACACTGTGATGATTTGGCCAAATTTTCATTAACATAATGCCGTGTTCGTGAACGGATTCCTTTGCCACATGTGACCGAACATGGTGACCATTCAGTGAACTCGGTTACGGCACATTCCGCTAATAAATATAGGAATAGCAAATAACTTGATCAGATGCTGATTAAATACTAATCCTATGTTATCAACATACTTTTTGACATTTTTCAACAAATTTGTTAAAAAGATGTTTAAAATATTTTTTGCAATTATTGGACATGATTCCACTTACGTCGCGATATTTCATCTTCGGTATTTTCAGAGACATCCAACAATTGTGATTGCAACAGTTGATCATCACAGTTTCGTGGGATGGTTTTTGTTTTCCGGATGTACAAACGTGCCAATGGGATCATTTCCGATGAATTTGGATTGTAGAATGGCTGACGTGGATCTTCTGGGAACATTGTGGTTATGCGAGTCATTCGTTCACGTGGGAATGTTTCCGAGTTGGGTGACTGAAATTAAGAGACAAATGAAGAAATTGAGTGAAAAATAGGATCAAATAAAATAAATAAGAAAAATGAGAAAAATGAGATTGTCGATTCAATGATTTGAAACAATAAAAGAAGTTGGAAAATGAGTCAATATCCAAAATCCGGACTCAAATTGCAAATTTTCAATTTTTCTATTAAAAATAAATGCATAACAGCCTTACCATGTAAGTGATACCATTGTCAGTGCCGGCATCCCATGGATACAGATCAATATCAAGTGAATCCTTCCAGCTGCAGTCTTTTTCGCACAAATTCAATCCGCTGACACCAACTACCCAGTCGGGTGATGGGCCGAACATTGAAACCACCGACAGTTTGTGATGGATGCGATCTGTTCGGAAATTGGCCGAAGTGTTTGTATTCACATTTGGATACCATAAACCGGCTGCTTTGATAAGTGTTCGAAGACGTGGCCCCTTTGCACGAAGCTCAAATTCCATTTGACGAACTGAACCGAATTCAGCCATTTGCTTAAAGCCATCGGTGGCGATGTGATTTTCGCCCCAGAACGAAAAGTTTGAGTCATGCGATGCACCGATTACATCAGAGAAATGCGTGAGCCAAACGGCGAATGGGAAATCACGAGGATGCGTTTCGTTTGACCAAATTCCTTCGAATGTCATCTAATTGGGAATATTGAAGAAAAATCACAATTTAGTTAAGCAATATATCATCAAAAATCAATTTTGATTTTTTTTTTCCTTTTCTTATTTAGATTTGAAAATAAATTACCTGGTATTTAGCTTCATCACAAGCGCAACACTCCTGTGCAACTGCAACATGTTCCGGTTCACCTTCGCAGATAATTTTGGTGAGTTGTCCATTGTCTGCGTGCCATTTCTGTGATTTTTCATAGACCAGTGCCGAAATGGCGACACAACCCGAACCTGCCGGTGGAGCGACCCACATGAATTGAACTTCGGATTTGGGATAGTTATCCGCTTCTTTGATTGTGTTCACACAATCGATGTTGAATTCAGCCATTGGATCATCAAACAATTGGAAACGGCCAACGCGACGTGGATTGGATAAAGTGACGCGAGCTTTGGTGCGATCAGCATTTGAAGCAGCCCGAGCATAGATCCGGAATTGAGTGAACTCTTTGGTGAATTCACTATTGACACGCGGCGCAACCAAAAACACTAGATAGAAAAGAGAGAGAAGAATGAAGATAATGATTAGAAAAATAAATTGAAAATTGTGAAATACATAATTTGTGATAATCTCAAAGTTTTTCAATTGTTTTTTTTTTTCATTTCGACACAATGAAAAAAGAAATCAAGGCCAAAATTGAAGCGATATTTAGTTGATTAAATTTTGGTTGATTCTTATTTCAAACACAAATGAAAAACTTACCATTATAAATTTTGCCTGGTTGATATCGGTTTGGATCTCCATCGATGAATATACGGTAACCACCGTCACCACTTACTTTCTGGTTCTTTTTGACATTTTCCGGTCGATTGCATCGACCCACTGCCACAGTTCCATTTATCGCCACGAAAAACAGAAAAACACTTAGAATAAATGTACAAATTTTCGCCATGATTTTTGACGGCCAAAACGAATGAAAGTGTGATTCACGCGTTGTCGCCTTTCCCAATGAAAATCGCCTAGCTACTGCTGCTTCACATCATATGGCTCCAGTTTTAGAATTTCATCATATAATTTCATCGTTTGAATGTCGCAGGCATTCATGTTTTATCAGTAATGCGAGATGACCCATGACCTTAATGAACAACGACAGCGATACAAAGTGATGATAATTATGTTGGTCTTCACCGAAATAATCACGCTATTCGTATCGTAAAAGTGCATTGCTTCATGTGCCCAATTAATATGATAACAAAGAAGAATACAATACGACGACGCACACTAAAACAAAAATGAGAAAATAAACAACGTTTTACTTGTGGTTTCAAAAATTGTGTATTGCTTTCAATAACGAATACAATGACAATGACTGTGTTGTGACAGTTGACAGCCCAATAAATGTCCGTAAACCCAATACTCAACAACTTCACTTCGGTCGATGACAGTTCTGTGTTTTGATGTTATTCTCAGTGTGATTGGATTCTTAAAAAAAAACCCTTGTCAATTATTTTACGTAATAAAAAATAGCGATGGCTGGACGTGGAACAATTGTCCGATCGATTCATCATGTGCAACCGATTTGGTCGACCAGCAATGCAGAGACTCGCAGTCGGGTCATTAAATTGTATAAAACTTGGTATCGTCAAATTCCGCATATCGGTAAGTTTTTGCGTTCTAAGAAACTCCGCTTTTTGCGTCGCTTATTTTTTTCTCGTTCTTGTTTTCTACCCATTCGACCCTTTTTTTTACTCATTCGATCTTTTTTTCCTCGAAAATCAGTGGACGACTACAATTTGCCATACTCGAGCCATCAATGCCGTGCCAAATTACACGATGAATTCATGAAGCAAAAACATCTTGCCGACATTCGTCAAATTGACATGCAAGTAATTCGAAAACAGCTGGAACTTAAGGAAATTTGTTGCATGCAAAAAAATCGATCTCACCTTCTGAACTACTGGTCAAATGATGCCGCCAGCCATACAACACAACCGACTAAATTCCTTGCCAAATTTTTAGTCGGCCAATATTAAACGATACGGATTCTATTCGACCCTTTTTTCTACAACAGTGATATTTGTTCGATGTATATTGTAAATTAAGATCTTTGTATATAAAGTCGTGCCTTCCCACTATAGATTTATTTGAGTCATAAAACAGTGGGCAAAATGATATCAACCCGCTTTGGCAGATTAGATACCATTGTCATTTACTGGGGAGATATCAGACCGATTTTTCATTGACCGATTAGTGAAAAATTTATGAACAAATAATGATATAAATAAAGTTACAATTTGTAACATTGTATGCGGTAAAGGAATTAAATTTCATTTCGCTCAAATTAAAATCTTTTTTTTATTTTCAGACACTTTTTGTCCCATTTTCTACGAAATCAGAAACGCAGCTGATTTTTTTTTTATCAAAATGCCTTTACAATATCGAATATGATTGCAAAATATAAATCCATTACAGGCTTTTTGTTGCTTAATTTTGATTGCACTTGACTTGATAAGTGTTGATACCAACATAGAATTTATAATCAATCGAATGATGATAATATGGCATTCAAAAATAGATTCAAATGTTAAATTGCAAAAATGAGTCATTATTGAAATACGATTGCATAGATTATTCCTAATGACAATGATATTTTGTTTTGTTTTTAAATAAAAAATCATTTCTTCTATTTTACAAATTACTTTTTCAATGGAATTGATTTTAATTGAAACATTTTATCTCCCAATGAAATTCTTTTTTTTTTTAAATGAAGATGAATTTAGAAAACCTCGAATTGGCAATTGAAAATATGATGGATTGAAATATAATAACGACCACTTTGAGTTATTTTTTTCAAGAACTGGAACTAAGCAAATTACCGAGATTTCGATTTTCATAAAAAATTATTCGAAGCCTTGGTAAAAAAATGGGTTCAAGTTTTGAACTTCAAAATGAATTTAAAAAAAAAATCATCAAAAATGAAGAAAATGTTTATTTTACCTTATTTCAATCCTTCACTTGGTTTTTCCTTTGCCAAAATTTATTTTATTCCCAAAAAAACTTTAATTCATGGAATCAATAAGGCAAAAATATCTCTCTTTGATGTTTCCGAACCGAATGACCAAAGTCATAATCAAATATTTGCAAAGCCATGGTTAAATTAATTTTTCGTTTAAGTAAGGTTGATATGAATTCATTGTGCGTATTACGCTCTGCATAAGATGTGCGTAAAAGTTAAAGTTTAACATTACTCAAATCATTGAATTCGTCGAAAATATCTGAAAATCCGTTTGACAAACAGAATTTCCGTCCACGAATAACATTCCTTTGTCTAAAATTCGCTGTGTTCATTACGTCGATGAGTGGCGATGACTGGAGATGGCTCAAATTCAATTACTATTGAAGTGTAGTAACTTTGTATCATCGGTTGCTGGGCAACTCAAGAGGCACACCTGGTACAGTGTAATAAAAATGGATGGATAGCAGTGCGGAAAACATGTTTGAAATGTGAGGAATTGGATTATCATAGTAACGAATAAAAAAAATGGAAATGTTTAGCTGCTATGAGTCACCATTTATGGAAGTGTTTGAATCAATTAAAAATAGATTTGAATTAGATATTTCAAAGATTTGATGTGATTGCGTTGACAAATGTTTGCTTGTTGTTATTTTTGGAGCCGGTTTTGTCTAGAAGTCGATTTTGTCAACAGTTTCATCGTTATTTTGGTCAGGTAAATTCGGAAAACAAGTCATAAAAAGCCGCGACAACAAGCATGAATATGAAAACAGATACTCGTTTTTTTTTAGCTAAGCACGTACTGCCTACGACCTTAACATCGCTCGTAAATTCGTTGTTTTTTTTTGTGCGCGCGATTGTGATACTCATCGATTTGTGAGATAAATAACAATTATACACGGAAATCGGTGTGCGGTGGTCATTGGTGCACATTGTTTCGATAAATCATTAATCTCTCCTTGCACACGTTGTATGCTCGAATCGTAAGTTGTGTACGCGCACATACGTTCGGATCAGCCGCTTATAGTCTGTATGAATTTTGATTTTTGGAGGGCAATCGAGTTTTCAATATGAGTCTGTTTGCTGTGCGACTTCATTTTTCAAAAAGAACATACACACACGAATATGGTGTTAATTATGATATTTCACTCCTTTTTGGTAAATCATTTACAATGTTAACAATGTGCAATTAAACAAAGCAACGAACACAATGAAAACAAAAAAAAACTGTTCACCTGAAAATAGTCACTTGGCATTCAGTTAATGTGAAAATTAATAAAGTCGATAAGTTGCCGTGCGTAATCCGACGCGCGAGATAGAGAGAAGAAAGAAGAGAAAAAAATGTTAAGCGCGGTAATTTTCGTTTGATCGAATTTACTCCAATTTTTGTTTGGAGGTCATGCGAAAAAAAAGTCATTCCTAAAAACCAAAAGAAAAAGGTTGCATGCGTGAAAATGCAACGAGGTGAATTGTTTGATTGTGCCTAAAAAAATAAATGCTTTTTTGTCAAGGAATTCGAACGCTTTTTGGGGTAAATTGAAATGAAAAACCGCATGTTTTGTCTGAATTTTGATGAAGCTAGAACAATTATACTAAATAATAATCGATATTATTAGGAATTGAGTCATGTCATCGTTTAAATTGCGAGAAAATTACATTGCCTGAACAAAACAAAGTCTACAAACAAACCGAGTCTCATGAACTGTGCGTTCGCGAACGCGACACTCGGCTCATTTATTGCCAATTTCCATAGAATTGACGGTAAAACGAGACACAAAATGCTTTGAACTTGATGCAAATTGCATCCCAAATGCGCGCACACACAACAGACAGAGGAACAATAGGGGCATAAATTTAAGAAAAGCAAATACAGCCAAATCGAACAAGCGAAGTTCGCCAAATATATAAAAAAAAATTCAGCGCAAAGCTGTTGAGTGCTCGCCTCAGCTCACATTCAAATTGGCGTGGATGTTGAATTGTTGATATGATATTCAAGTGGCTGCTGCTGCTGTTGTATTTTTTTGTTTTTCGTGCATATCATGTTGATTTGCTGATCACGTCATTTTTGTTTTAGTATTCGAAACGGCATATAAACAACAACAAAATTGCAATCGACCATATTCGTATGAAACGAGCGGCAACACAGAATAAGAAGGAAAAAAAACACAACGACCGTCGTCGTCGTCGTCGTCGTCGTCATCGTCACTGGAGACAAAATATATATGAACCGAGAGTACGAGAGAAAAAAACGAGAACAGCAACAACAAAAAAATTCCATATATACTAAGCACAGTGTGTATCAGCTGCAACAACAACATCCATTATTGTCGATGATTCATCGCCCGATCGGGCTAATATCCAATGAATATTGTGTGTATGGAGGCAATGTGTGTTGTCGCGCGGCGTTGAATGAAGCGCGCGTGAGACCGACCGATTCATATTATTTTATGTTCAATCAGTTCTGGTGTTTATAGTGAAGCGTCCACACACACAGTTTATTATTCACTTGACGCGCGTGAACAAGCGCGAACCCGATTTTCGTTGATGTTTTTTTTTCTGTTTCCCAGTGATATATTTTGACCGAAACGAACGAAAAACAAAAAAATTTGTAATCACAAATTTCCAATTGATTATCGGATTGTGTGTGTTTTTTTTTAAATTCCAAACAGAGAAGAGATCATAGTGTGTTTTGTGAAACGGTTGTGAAAAATATGCGTTAAAAACCGTTGATTTATTACATCACCAACAGTTGTTGTGCTCGCAAGTTTGTTTTTTTTTATGATAAAAAATCAATTATTTAAAGACACAACTCGAAACAGGAGAGAAAAAAAACCGTTAATTCATCGCATCAATTGCAGTTGCTGACAAAAAAAATAGTATATGTGTGTGTCCTCGACTGAGGGAAATATACAGAAACAAAAAATTGCGCCAAATAATCGAAAAACATAAATTGAAAGTTGAAAATATTTAAATAGACATTCAGTGACCGTTGCAAAGTTCAAATTCATTTGACGTTCAACTAGTTTAACGGTTTTTAAATTAGCAATCCAGAGAAGAAGAAGAGAAAAACTTTGACGCATCTATTCTTAAAACGGCAGTGTTCATTTTCTGTTTTGCGTAAATTGATTAGTGAATAATTTGTTTCACAACAATTTTTAATTGATTGGACAACGCGCAAAACGCTGTGTGAACATCTTACAAAATGGACTCATCTGTAAGTGTTAGTTTGCCACCGCCGCCACCTCCACCACCGCCAATGCTCAATATGAATGCAACGCACAATAATGGACGATCTCAACTGTTGGCCGACATCCGCAAGGGAGCCACACTCAAAACAGCACCAACAGTGAATGATTCACACCACAATGTACGTAATAAATTTAGAGCAAGATAGAGAGAAGAAATAGTCGAGTGAAAAATTGCCTAATCGCTGAATGAACGAGGTTAAAATAGAGAACATTCCGCGAGAATCAATTCAAAATAGAGAATGTTCCGTATAAGGAGTTTTTCCAGTAGTAAATATCAGAATCAAGCTTTAGGCCACTGAATCTTGTCGAAAAAATACTTTTTCAACCGATATTTCCAGATAATCGCATACAATTCTCGGTTTTTTTTTTGTCTAATTACATTCAATTCATTTCTTAACATTTCTGTGTTGGTTTTTCCGTGCCTTCCACAGGAATTATCACCAAGTGATAAATTGAAGAAGCAAACGCAAGACTTGTTGCAGGCTGAACTCACTAGCACATTGAAACGTCGTAAGCCCGTTGTGATTAACGAGCCACCAAAGTACGAGTATCCGACATACGACGACGATAGCTTTAAAAACAATGAGTCATCACATTCCACGGGCAACAGCGCAAACAACGTGCACAATGCAAACACAACAACACCAACCGCCGCCGTCGTCGTCACAAAGCCATTGAATGTGAACGCTGTTTTATCGGTTGTGACCGGTATTAAATTGCCTGATGTTCAATATGATGCCAATAATATATCGTCCGCTGCAACGAAAACTCAAGCCAACGACAAACCGAAGATAACACATGGCCGACCGAATTTTACCATTGCACCAATGAAAGAGGCCAACAAATCAAATGGTCAGCCAGTTACTAGTCCCAAAGTGCCGCAAATCAAATCACCTGAATTAAAAGATCCAAAACTCCATCGTCCAAGCTATTTTTCGAGCACCATCACGACATTGGATAAATCATGTGCCAACAAACAACAAACTGCCGATTCGGCCACCACTACAGGCGCCGAATCACAAGTGGAAAAATGCAAGTCGATCTTTTTGATAAAGTCACAAAAAAGTGTGGAAAATGACAGTCCAAAACCGCAAAAGCAACACCAAAAAACGGAATTGATTTCGAAATTCGAGAGTCCAGTGATGCCATTGGCCAATTTTCCACCAGCAGTGGCTCGATTGCCCAGCGTTTCGGAACAGAAAGAGGTGATCAAGAAGAAAAATTCCGTGGATGAAACACGAAATGTGAGTGTGGCCAATAAGAAGGCTCTCTTTGAAAAACCCGTTGAAAGCATTCCGAAGACGAACGGTGTGAAAACAACCCAGTCAAACAAAGTGATTTTAAATCGAACGACATCGAATCAAATTCCAAATGGGAAATTTAGCACATTGAACAGTCCTCGTATCATCAGTCAAGCCAACAATCAACAGAAACCAGGCGTTACAACGGTTGCACTCAACAAGAATACATCGTACGGTTCATTGGGACGACCATCAATGGCAACAGTCGGTGGCAATAAAGATCGTGTGGATCATCATTTCGAACGCACCGTGCATACGGTCAACGAAACCACAACCACTAAGGGCAAATACGAGACAAAACAATTTGAACAGAAGACGGTTGTGTCATTTTCAAAGGATTTGCTCAACGCTCCAAATAAATATCCCGATCAAATTCGTGTGAAAAAGACAATAGTTACGGAACGTTCGCATGCCATTAACCAAGATAACCCATTCAATAACATTCGCTTCTCCATTCAACCCAATGGCCAAGTCATTCCAAAAGCCAAGTGAACTACAGTATTTTCGACAAAAGAAGATTTTTTTATTTCATGATTTTTATTATTACCGTTTTGAATAAATATGTTACAATTTCTTCTTTTTTTTCTGTTCGTTTCAACTAAAATTATTTGTTTGTTTTTTTTTTTGGTATTACTCACTCGGTTGTGTATTTGTTGCTACGATGATCGATCCGATGCAATAAAACTCTTTGATTTACAGAGAGATTTCCATGAATCATTTACTAAATAATATTAAAGTAATTGTGTTCGATGGTTTGTTTTGAGGTTTGGTTTTGTCAAGAGAAAACCGCAACATTCGTTCAAGGAATGTTGCACAGCGCAATTATTACGCCCCCACCCAGATGACGACGGCGACAAAAATATCCAATTCCACTCTGTCAACATTTTACATTACTAAAACGGCAGTGAATTTCTTTACAAATAACAGTTTAGCACATTTCTATTATCTCTCTATTTTTTTTTGGTCTGTCTACAAAAAACAAAACGAACAAACACCAGTTTATATCTCGTCGGTTTTTGAGTTGACACGCTTTTGTCTCACACTCTCTACTCGGTTGTAAATAATTTCGGTCGTCAAAATAAAATAATATCGGTCATGATAAACATGGCATTCGATGAAATTTAAAGAGTACAGTCTATGAAGACTGTAAACGTGCCCGCGCGCGCGCTTTCTAGTGATGTCTCGCTTCACTTGATGCAATAGTCTTTTCGTTGTTGCCTCACTATCGCCTCCAATTTGATACAACGGTCTTTTAACGATGCATTCTCTTTGATTATTACTTCCAACGATCCGTCTTTCTTTTCGATGGCACTTTGTACACGCTTGTGAATCTCTTGGATCTCTTCGTCACGCTCCTTACGCACCGCATCTTTGAAATGCTCCTTTTCCGTCATAAAGTTATCGCACATCTATGGATTTGTTGCATTTGGAATAAAGAAATAATTGAGTTATCTTTGGGTAAAATGAGTCATTTTTGTTGAAAACAATGCAGTTTAGGGCTTTGAGATGATGACAAAGTAAGTATTAGGATTGGTAAGCAATTAGTAAAAAATTAAAATAAGTAAGAAGGAAACGAAAATGATGTTGATGATAAAGAAAAGGAGACGCAAGAGAAAAACAAGAAGAAGAGAAGGTGGAGAAAGAAGAACAGCAAGAAGAAAGGGATAAAGAGCAAGGCAAGAATGAGAGTTCGGATAAGAACATTTCTTCCAAGTTCATTCAAACTGAATTCCAATTGATTCTTTTTTGAAATCTCGTACTTAAGTAAGTTACTGTCGTGTATTTAATTTGTTGCTACTTTTTTGTAATTCGAGTGTCTTTTTCCCTGCTTCTCCCATGCTTTTCTTCCAAAAAAAACTCACCTTTTGTGTATGAGCCAGCTGCATTTCCAATTGGTTTATTGTTGCATGTAAGTTTTTCACTTCGCCTTCAACTTGAGCTAATTTCGAACGTGTCTCCACGTACTTTTCACGCGTTTGCCGCTCACTTCGTTCCATTTCACGCAATTCGCTCTCATGTTGGCTTTTCAAGCGGCTATCAAACATATGAGAAGAAATGAACATGAATCCCGTAATTAAATCGAACGATGGGAAATTTAGCACATTGAACAGTCTTCGTATCATCTTTAGACATTTTCTGTTCAGTTCAAACTGTTTTATTTCTTAAAACCAAAAACGATTTCTAAAATAATCTACATTCCGAAGCGATTCAATCATTCAACGGCGAAATAATAGAAAACAATATTGAAATGGCTTACTTGAATTTCGCTTCAAATTCCTGTTTGTGTATCAGAGTCTCTTCGTCGATTTTCGCTACAATCGAGTCGATTTGTTTATCTCGTTCGGCACGGCATTGCTGACGAATGCTATTCGCCTCTTCGATTTGACGTAATTTAAATGTTGTCTCTTGTTCACGTTTCCATATCGCAAAGTCAGACTCGAATTGCTTTGATATTGACTCGATTTCACACTGCGATCGAAAAGGGAGTTTTTTTTTTAAATCAAACCATTGTAAATTGAGTGAAGCATTCAATCGAAATTCAATATTAAATTTCCTCAAACAACAAAAAAGAACATAAAACGCAAAAAGGCTGATGGAAATGAAATAATAAATGGATGGAATGCTCAATAGAAAAAAATGGAGAAAATCATAATAAAAATATTACAAAAAGAAGCAAAGGCTTGTCGAAGACTCTTAAGTTGATGATAAATGGCTGATGTCGCTCGCACCTGATTTCGTTTTTCAATCATTCGAACTTTCTCATTAAATTCTCGATTCAAATGTTCGGCCGTTTCCTTTTTATCTCGCAGTAATTTCTCACGTTGCGCATCCAATTCTTGTTCTTTATGCTGTATTTCCTTGAGCAGTCGATCTTTTTCCGCGGAAAATTCGCTGAGTATACGATTTTTGGCATCTTCAAATGTCCTTTGCTCCAATTCCATTTGCTTTTCAAATCTACAATCAAACAATTAAAACGTGATCAACTCAAATGTATGCTGAAACTAATAAACTCATCGCGGAGCACGCGATGAAGAGTTGCGCTTGAGTGAGTTGAATTGAAGAGCTGCGTTTACCTATCACGGATGGCATTTCGTTCTTTTTCAATGGCCACTTCCCGATCTTTGGCATACGTTTCACGAATTCCCATTTCGAGTGATTCGTGCTTTTGCCGTGCCTCTTCAATGGCATTCAAAATTTCCTCTTGATGTTGACGCTTCAACTCAGTAATTTCCTTTTGATGATTGCATGTAATTTTGCTTATCTCCTGTTCCAAACCCTTAACCGTCAGCTCCTGTAATGTTGCGAAATAATGAAGGCGATACAAAGCGTTTGTTTTCATTAAGATTTTATTTTTAGATCGTAAAAAAAAACAAAAGTACGGTCCCATTCATTGACGATGAATCATCGTTTACCTTAATTTTTTTCGTATTCTCGCGTACCCATCGTTCCCGGCGAATTTTTTCGGCAGCCAATGCCGTTTCTTTGATTCGTTGAATTTCATTTTGTAGTTTATGTTCGGCGGCTATCGATTGACTTTCCAGACGTCTTGTCATCGCTGACACCTTTTCACACAGCGATGCTTTGTCTTTGAGCAACTTGAAAATGCAACGAAGAAAGAAACCCACACACACACAGACAGACGGAAAAAGAGCCATTCTTAGAAAATCACAAACTCAAATACATAAATCAAAGCGTAGCACACTCACTTGTTCGATGAATTCTTGGTGCCGTGTCACAATCGTTTCGTAATGATTCTTCTGCTCTTTTAAGCGGGCTTGTCCCATTTGCTTTTCCAGCCGAATCGTTTTTTGATTATCACTACGGATTTTATCCATGTGGTCTTTTGACAATTGTATCGCATTTGTCAGCTCATTTGTTCGCAAACTTAAGCCAATTACCTTGCGAGCCAACTGTTCACTCGATAACAACATCAACTCACTCAATCTTGTTTATTTTTGGAGAAAAAGAAAATCGTGTTCAACATCATCATGTTAATATTATTGAATCAATTGAACAATTGAATTGAATACTGTGCCAAAACAACCAGTCGTTTCACTACTCACTTTGGTACATCACCGACGGTGTCGTTACCGATGTTATAGTCAATTTCCGTTTGAAAATCCGCATCGGGCATCTTCTGTTGCTTCACATTATTTATCGTTCGATCGCAATTATGATCCACTTCGTCCAAGTATTGATAGATTTCTCTGTGGAAGTGTAGAGAGAGATAAGTAAGCTCTTGTTTAGTTTTATCACTTTTGATGCGATGCTGTTTTGGTTTTTGTTGGAAGAAATTTAGCACTATAATATTTTATTGAAAGCTTCTTAAATGAGTTCTCTTCATATTTACTCCCCATTTTCTCAATTCGACAAAAATGAGAAAATTTTACGAATTTTTCTCGCGCTCAATTCCTATTCAGTCTTGTGTTTTCAATTTCAAATGTAAGATTTTTGAACAAACCAGACGGAGAAATTTGTGTTCGAGTTTTTGTGCTTCACAATCATATTAATTTGAAATAAATAAATTGTTTATCTCATTAATTTTCAAGCATTGTTGTCAACGAACAACTAAGCGAAAATTTCAAGTCGTTAATTTCAGTGCTGATTTCCCAATCTTAAAAAAAATTCAATAAAAATTCAAAGAAAAAATTTACTTGATTTTATTGGAGTGTTCATTCAAGTTTGCATTCGAAGTCCCCGAACATGACTTGTGTTGAAATGCTTCACTGGCTGCCGATAGTGATGGTGCTGAAGTGGCGCTTTTGATGGGATCTAAACCGTGAGATTCACAGAAAAAAAGAAGAAAAACCAAAAATAACTACCGAAATTCCAGTGTTAACAGTCGAAATTGGCCTAAATATAGTCTACCGAATGAAATTTGCATGCGACGACCTTCGAGTTTTTTGAGAACGAGTTCAATACCGCCACCAATCGATCCATCCATCGATGTGTTATCCACTTGATCGTCCAGGCTATAATTGCCTTCATCGTCGGTTTTTGATGTTGGCGTTTCGCGCCACGTTTTTTTATAATCCAAATTTGAACTGCTGCCAAATTTGCCATACCGACGAAAGCTATTGAGTCCCGTATCGCTGAATGTATCTTCGTGTGTTGACATCCAACTTTCGACCTTATCAATTTGAAATTCGTTGAGCTTAATGTCGGTAACACGTTGCAGATGGCCAACCGATTTGGCTTTTGTCAAACGATTGGCTGTGGTGGGTTTGGCATCGCAAGCGGTGGTGGCTTGTGCTGATTTAATTTTACGATTCGATGGGGTGGCCAGTTTTTTCGTTGTTTTCAGTTTGATCGTCGCTGAACTGGGTTTGGATGAGCCAATTGATTTTTGATTAGTAATTTTGAGATAATTATTGATTACAGTGCTGGCCGAGTCTCGTGTTGGTGATTCATCGGATGTATTGCTTGCGGTGGTAGCAGTGGTGGTGGTGGTGGTTACTTTCGTTTTACTAACTAAATTTGCAGTCGATTCATGATTCGGCGATGACCACGAATCACTGCCACCTGAATGCCATTCATCTTTCGGCTGTTTCTCGCTCTCTTTCCGTTCACTACGCGCTGGACTTCCATTCAAATAGTCGGAATATGTTGCGGTTGCATCACCATTTATTTTACTCTCATTCCATCGTCGTTCCCGTTCATGCTGCCGATTGATACTTTCAATTTCTCGTTTGTATTCTTCGATTATTTTTTCGGAGCTATCATTCGGCTGCGTTGTGCTTCCATTTTCATTGTCCTCTGGCAATACATCCAAACGCATATCGGCCTTACACCGCAAACTACTACACTTTAATGGACAATACTCTTTATCGTCGGTTAACAAATTGCTCGACTCACTAATCTCCTTAGCCGTGTTCAGATTCCGATGCATTGATGTTTGATTAAATGCTGTATGTTTTTTCACATCCATGTGAGTGGTGGTAGTAGCGGTAAGAGTGTCGTCCATGCGACCATCGACATCGTTATCGTCATCATCAAAATATTCGTCTTCGAAATGAACGTTCTTCTTGCGAAACGGTTCGTTGAGATCCAAACTGCGGCTTGTGTCCGTGTCATTCTCAATATCGCTGTAATCTATCTCGTAAACGTCGTTTTTGCTGAACGAAACTCGCCCCGGCAAATCGGCTTTGAGTGTGTTGAAACCGCTAGCAGTGGGTGAGGCCGGCGGCGGTACATAAGCGGATTTCATTTCATGTGGTTTACTCTTGCCACTACTACTACCACCACCACCACCACCACCATCCACCGAACTCGATGGCGATGATGTTGTCATCGTCGCTCCCAGCCTCTTCTCTCTACCGCCATCCGTTTGTAATATTGACACTTGTTTACCACTGGATTTGGCCAACTTGAGCTTATTATTCGAATTGACAGATGATGATGTTTTCGCTTTTATCACAGTCGCTTTTTGCTTTGCATCCGCCTTACACTTTGGCCGACTCGTACCAACCGATTTTGGCCTAATTGACGTTGCATCTTCATCCTTTGCAATATTACTTTGTGGCGGAACGGTGATTGTTGTGCTGCTACTGCTGCTGCTGCTACCTCTGCTACTGGCCGCATTCTCATTCTCGATCGTTGGAATTTGCTCCAGTTTCGAATCGCGTTCCATGATATGGTCAATTTCGTCATCGTTTGTCGTATCGTTGTCGTTGTCGCCAATTTCCTCGGCTATCGATGATGGACTGTCGTCCGATGTATCCTCACCACTATTTTTCGATTGTTTCGACAACACATTCGCATCCGAACCATCATCGTCTTCAGCTAGTTTAGCTGGTGAATCCGTTTTGCTATGTTCATTCGACATCCAAGTATTTCGCTTTATCGGTTCAGACAACAAAAATCTGTATAGACTTGATGATGATAAGGCTCGTTTTTCCTGAAAAAAAAAATGTAAGAAAGTATGAACATTTTTTTTTCTATTTTCGAAAAAAAATCAATTCTAACAAAAATTCACGAAAAATATTTCCATTTCACAGTTCGGCATATTCATATTTTGGAACATGAAAACATTTTCCCAAAATGTTACAAAGATAACACAATTTCTACTTTGGGTATGAGAAAAAAGAGATTCAATTGTAATTTTGTTCAATTTACTCGATTCATACCTTATGACTGTTACCGTTACATATCGACTTGTTCGATGACAAATGTGGGCTAGTTTTGGAGTGTTGTGCCGCTGCTGCTTTCCGTTGATATTTGCCGCAATCGGCGGATGCAGCGCGCCGATAAAATTTCGATGGTGTTTGTTGTTTCTGTTGCAAACACTGCAACGAATGTGCACGGGCCAACAAAATTTTATTGGTTGCAGCTAGTTGAGCGCTCGGTGTGGTCAATGTGACACTAGCCGAACCGGGACGTTTCAAAAATATTGGATAATTCACAGGTATTGCGGCGGTTGCTTTGTCACGCGTTGCTAGGTTAATCTACAAATGAACCACAACAAAGCAAACGGTTGGTGTTGTTTTCTTTTCAGTTCTTGTTCATGTTCGATAGAAATGAAGGATTTTTGTTAGAGAGATAGAAGCACACACACACACACACACGCGCACGCACGCATACAAATAGGCACATACAAACGGGTCGCACATTCGTTCACGCACCCACATGCTTAGAGGTGTAACTACACATAAACATATACACACGCGCTTGCTTCACAAGACACAACATCAAAAGCAACATGAATCAGGATGAAACATGAATTGAGGGTAAAAAAAAAAATGAAATTTGTCTGCAAAAAAAGTCTTTCAAAAAAAAAAACACACACACACAAAATCTAAATGTTGTAACTGAAAAAAGGAACTCCTTAATATGTTCGAGATTCAAAATCCCATTTCTCACATTCAAAATGAACGAAATTTTACTCAAAAATCCACTAAATACACACAAAAAAAATCCTTATCAACCTGCGATCCATGCAGAGCTAATTCCATGCTACCGCCCGCAAACGCGATTCATCATATTTTCATTCATTTACACGGACACTTCTACGGATTGTAATTGAAAATTTTGGGTTTTGTTTCGTTGCGTTTCTTCTTCAATCAACGTTGCAACGGCAATGGTAGACTTTCAAATTTATACCACGAAACAAAACAAAACAAAGTGTGGGCTCAAATCACTGTGTTATGAAAATTGTATGCGTTATGAATTTTTTAGCGGTTACAAACGGTTACTGCAGTTAAGTACACTTGTTCATTTACAGAAATGTCCATTTCAAGAAGAACTTGTTCCAATTTTTAAAACGAAAAACAAAACAATGCGATAACTGTCCATTTACATGCTTGAAATTTGTGTGTCAAATATTGGAAGAGTTGAAAAAAAAAAACTGAATCGATAGACGGCCGTGCGATTGTGGCTAAAAAAAAGTTAACGGACATCACTGAAAAAACACGCACAAACAGTTTGAATTCAAGATGTTGAAAAGGATGTGATGGTTTGTGTTTGAATAAATGAAAATGCAATTGGATATTGGTATTAATGCATCACAAACTTGATTTGTCTCTAAATTTTGCGCACACACAATAATGGTCACTTGCGAATGATCGATGATGGTTTCAAGAAAGAAAAAAAAATATGATCAAAGGCCGTTTCCCACAAAGACACAACTTATGGTACACAAACGATGGTAAAATGCGTTTGAATATGTACGTATATTCCCAAGTCGTGTTGTTTATTGTTTCGGAAATTCACGCTACACTCACACACACTAGTATCGATTTAATAATATTCACATTGTCGATGATTTGATGGTGTGTATGAGAGGCATATGAATTCACGAGTGCTTTCAAACGGAAACAACAACTATAACGGTACCGAACCGAACGGAACAGACAATTCAAAATCGTCCGCACCAAGAATACATGTATGCAATATTAATGTGTACATGAACTTCCCCCTCACTCACTATTCGAACGTGCGCCTCGGTTTGTGTGTGTGTGTGTGTGTTATACATGAAAAACTTCACCTTAACACGTTTTCTTTCGGCTTTCGCCTTAAACTATACGACATTGTCTTGAAAACCACTGAGTCGCCAGTGTCGCGCGTTAGTGTCGGCGTTTTTCAGTTGATTTTTTTTATGTATACACCAACCGATCACCATAGTAACTTTTTTTGGTCAGGTTGCGCGCACGAGGGGGTTCAATGACTGACAGAGACAGGAGAAATGAGGAAAAACCAACAACAACAAAAGCACACACACACACACACACATTTTGGTCGATTTGTCGTGAGAGCATATTTAATATGAAAACAATAACTAGGGTCGTTAGCGATCGGCTAATAACGATTCGGGCTCATAGTTTTCGCCCCAGATTTCGACATTGACATGCTTTTCCAAACATCATGATATACATTAGCACCGCTGTCTCAATTTGTTTCATTCGTTGACTGCGGTGCTGCTGCTGCTGCTGTTGTTCGAAATTATCATGAAACATGGCTTCACTAAACGGCGCTCGTGTGCAATATGCATGCATTTAAATGTTGATGCAATTTTTTGATTGCAAACACGAATTGTGAATTAATCCAACATCTCATTCACACTCGGCCGACCACCGTTGGTTATTTGTTATATATTTAGCGATTGCATGATGCATAAACGGCACGCGGTACGGGCAATTCATCAAATGATATGTGCGTATGTGGTGATGCATTTCCTTAAATTAAAAGCAACCTTAACATTAAAAAGGAACATAAAAACACACAGATTAGCCGAGAGGCATTACAAATTGAACGAGATTGCCCATGCAAATGACTCATCGGAATGACATCGATGAGCTATCGGTTATAAATCACGTCGTATTTTTATGCACTGAAATTGAACGAGAATCAATCAAGGAGACCATTTAAAAGTGAGATTATTTTCGATTCAACCCGTCGAAAGTGAGTCGATAGACGACAACTTCCGACTTTAATTAGATTTAGTTGTTAGTTTGAAAGGTCATCGTCGTCGCGTTTTAATTATAAACTAAATCGCTGAGCAATTTGGTAAAGCAACCAAGTTTCGAAGTAGAAGTTTCATGTCGAAACATTTAACAACTATTGATCGATGGGTAATAATTCGAAAAGTTTGTCAAAGACTGGAAAACACATGCCAGACTTTCCCAGAAAAATAAACGAACTTTCGAATCGTTTTCAAAATCATTAACTCATTTTATGACATCTTGAACTTGAAATGATTCATAACCATTGCAACTAGTTGAAAGTACACAATGAAAACCCGAAGAAAAGAAAAAAAAGGAGAGAAATGAAATCTATTAGATCCGAATAGGCAGGGGGAAATAACTGTGTCATTTTAAAGAGACTTCATAAATCTGTCAACACAACGGTTTAAATCCACATCATACATACTTCATGACATGTACGACCGTATTTATCGTATATTTTCCGCCTTTTTTGTCGCGTAGAATTTGCATTTTTTTCCTCATTCAACCAACTGATAACAGTTGAATAATAATATGCATGGGATGGGAAAAAAATGAAAAAAAAGCGCTCAAATATGCTGCTTGTCGGCGTATCACGTTCCGTTGCAATGTTGGGAACTTATCAACGTTGAAAAAGGTGAAGATGTCATTGTTTTTCTTTCGAGAAAGAGAGAAAGAGAGAGAGAGAGAGAGAGAGGGAAAGAAAGAGAGAGTGAGTAAGTAAGTGAGAAACTGAGTGAGTGAGTGTGTGAGAAAAAATGCCATGATAGACAAATGGCCATTGAATTTGAGTTCAGATTGAACGATGGAATCCTCCTGATATGCGAATGACACTTTTTCAACAAATTATTTCTTCGATTGAAAACCAGGCAATCGTTCATTTTTCAGCCCGTATTAAAGTGTAGCATATTTTCAGCGTGAGGTTGTCACACGGCATATTCATGTATGGATTAATTTAAACGTATTTATTTGGTGTGGATATCGCAAGCGAATAAATTCGCCTGGATTTATGCTTATTTATGTTATTTGTGACGAGATATTCGTCTCATGTTTCGGCCCATCATAACGAAATAGATACTATTCATAGCGCAGAAGAGTGCGAATGAGAGAACGAACGAGCGGACGAGCCAACGAGCCAACGAGCCATTTGGTCCACACGACCAACGGAATTTGATGAATGCTTGAATGAATTAAGAGCTCATAATCTGTTTAATTTGGATGGAGATCAAGAGACCAAAAATTGAATTCCGCACATAGAATATGGGCACGAATGCGAAAAAAAACATATACTCCGTTTGGCAAGAAGTGAATAGAATAGAACCAAGCCAAAATAGAGAGAACGAGCGTTCAAATTGAAAATGAAAGAAAGAGCGAGAAATAGAACCGATTCATCGTCCTTGAATAACAAATGTACACTCTCATCATGTATGATGTCATGCTCGACTCGTTTATTATAGAAATTCTCAACGAAGCGCGTTCGCCCGCGCGCTGCGCATATTCAAAGCGAACACAATTTTTGTGAAACGTAATTTGTGGTGCTTGCTTGCTCTGTCTCTCTTTCTGCTATACTATTATTATGTATAGCTCTTGTTCGATATTTATATATTCTTACATCTATTCTTGAGTGTTTGCGTGTTTTTCTTTCGGGTGCTATGCGCTTTTTTGTTTATATGTTTACATGACATGGCACGTATGATGTGGTGAGCGATTTTTGATCGAAGTCAAATTCAAAATACCTCTTTTTTTAAGCGCCGCCATCCATCTGCCGTTGTTTTCATTGTTGTTGTTGTTCATTGAACATTTGCTCATCGACTAATTGTTGCATGAATAGCGAGAGAGAGAGAGAGACAGACAGAGACAGAGAGAGAGAGAGAGAGAGAGTGGAAGCGAATACAAATAGATTTTGACAAAAATTGATTTAAAAAAATGCGGATAAAACGGCGGTTGAGTGGAACGGCGCCGTGCGCGCGATAAGGAATAATAATAAACGATGGAAGTAAACAGATAACGAAGGGAGAAAAAATTACAGACAAGAATCAGCCGAGTAGAAAAGAAATCATCAACATCTCTGCCGATAATTAAAACGACGCATTTTTGGCGTCTAAAAGCCTGCCACGTTTACACACCAACAATAATACTAATATCAACCAGATAGCGAGCCGCAAATTACACAGCAAAAATATCACATATGAAGAAACGCGCTTCTTATACACCCAAAAAAGCGAAAACAATGCGATTACGAGCTTGATCAATGGATTATATTTGCGATGCGTATCAGTTGTGCAAATGCCTTTTTTTTTCGTTTTGGACTTTATCGTTTGCAATCGCATTTCAATCAACATATATGGAAATTGATGGCAGTGAGACAGGTATTGACCTGTGTGTTCAATTGAATTAGCGATATATTATTATTCGAATTATCGTTAACGAATTAACATGAAATCACCGCAAACTGCGAGTGCGAAAAATCTAAGTTTGGAGTGCGTGTGACGAAAGAGAGAGAGAGAGAGAGAGAGAGAGAGAGAGAGAGAGAGAGAGAGAGAGAGAGAGAGAGAGAGAGAGAGAGAGAGAGAGAGAGAGAGAGAAAAAACGTACGCACATTCCATTGCTCGCTATTGAAGTCGAACATAGTCCATGTTGGGTGAGGTAAGCGTTTGAGGGACGGACGAAATGTTCGTTTTTTTATTGCGATGCTGAATATATATTTTTTTTTCAGCAAACGGTGACAAAATAGACACTCTCTTGCTCGACGGGATCATTCTTATCACATTTTGTAGCCATTCAATGATTGTTCAGATAATTGCAAAATTTAATTGGATTCAGTTTAATCATATGCCGCTCTCTTTGCCTCGCTTTCGTTCTTTTGCTCTCGATCTATCTCGCCATAGGAGGCGATTTGTTTTATATATTTACATATAGATATGCTTTGATGCAAGTTCATGACTCATCCATAAAACTGATTACTATCTAATATGATAGTCATAAATGCGAATGGCATATCGATGGTGTAGCCGAGAGAGAGAGAGAGAGAGAGAGAGAGAAAACATGGTACAAGATCGAAGCGCACACCATAGTGAAAAATTCCTCATCAAATAGCATGCATGATTCCGGTGAACGTCGCGCGCGCGCGAGCGAGAAATAGAGAACGTTCGGTGGGCCACGGCATATCAACTACACACTTCCATTTCAAAGTGTGTATTATGTAATACGTACGCATGCATGCACGCACATACATGCTACGTGTGTGAATATAGACACAGAAATGAAAGATACACACGAAGAGCCACGGAGCGATTGAGTGTGAATACACATTGTGCTGAAAAAAAATTTCCTTGTGATGATGGTCGTAGGATTTGTGTCTCTCCCTCTCTAGATGATCTAACAGCACACAAACAACACAAATGAACCCGTGAGCACAAAAACGACTTATTAAACAATCGCCGAACAAAACGATACAAGAAAAAACTACCGAACAAAACGTACCACAGCGGTAATGTGTAGCACAGCGGAGTTTCGTTTTGAACGGTACCGTCCTGCTGTGTTACGTTTTTGACGTGTGTTTTGTTTGGTAGTTTTTTCTTGTATCGTTTTGTTCGGCGATTGTTTAATAAGTCGTTTTTATGCTCACGGGTTCAAATAGCCGAGAATTGTAATTTTATTCTTGTTCTCTCGCTTCTTTGTTGTGTGTCCTGTTCTGGCTTCCACCGAATTTGCCACCGCATCGGAATTGTTTGCATTGCTGTGAGAGTCGAGAGTCGCGGCATTATTCAATATAGATATTTTTATATGTGTTGGCTCTGCTGGCCGAAACAGCGACTAGTGTTGGTCTTGAGCTGTGAATACCATTTTCACACACTCGCTGTCTCCCGTTCTCTACCGTATGCTTGTAGAGATACATAGACATAAAAGAGCACGTTCTATTGAGGTGACGACAGCACAATGCGACACACAAAGAATTAACATACGCGCGCACTCTCTCGGATAGAAGGAACACACATTTTAGCAACGGTTCAATATTTCTGAATTACATATGGAATGTCATCTTTTCCACTAGTCAAGCCACCAACAATCATAGTGCGTTTCAACCGCATCGCGCGCGAATGTTCAACTGAACAACGCTCGCGCGCTCGCCACTACCGATTTAATACTTTGGATACACGTTCCGTGAAACGGCGACGACACACCACGGAAAAGTATTAGCAACAACCGCACGGCAAGAATAGAAACAGAAGAAAACAGCGCGTTTCACACACAAGCACATGGAATGCCGATACACATTTCAACGACAACGACGACGACAACAACAACAACAACAGCAACGGCAGAACGGCGGCAGCAGCAGTAGCAGCAAGTCCATTGAAATATAGCAAGAGAGAGAGAGAGAGAGAGAGAGAGAGAGAGAGAGAGAAAAAAAGAGAAGAACGAAGTAAAATAACATACCAAAGTGTAGAAACAAACCGTACAAAAGTATTACATACAAGTGTGTGTTAAACATACTGTGGTGTGGTACACCAGTAATCGCGCGACGTGAGAGAGAAGATCCCGTTCTCCTATATTCAAATCAAACGGATTGTTTTCATTCTGTGTTAAAGCTGTTAGTTTAACGAGTGCGAACGTCGAATAATAACCAAAATCACAGAGAGACAGATATTTGTTGTGTTTTTTTTTTCATTGTTGTTATTCTGGTGAGCTAGAGTGCGGTGAGGCAAACCGAATATATTTCAGTTCAGTTGTTTTTGTCGATTTTTCCGTCGTTTTTTTTTCTTCTTTCGACTACTTCTACCCTTTTACTTGCGTTCTTTCTCTTCACTTTTGACAAAACAGACAAAAATCTTCTTGTACTTTCGTTTCGATTAACGATTTTGCAATAAATCAAATGACAGATTTTTCTTTCTTTCCCCTCTCCTCTCGCTCTGTCGCCCGAGTCGCGCAAATATTTTCTCGAAACATATCGAAAAGCTTAAGCTCTTTCAAAGATGTAAAAAAAACACGGACTCAAAACCAACGAACAAGACAAAAAAAATCCTTATCGACGTAAGTGACGAAAGAAAAGCCACCGAAATCGCAAATTCAAATAAAATTATCTTCATCAATTCTTTTTGTGCATCGATTTGACTCGATCTCATTTTCGAGATTCAATCTTGAAGAATGCAACGAACAGAAATGATGGAAAAAAATTGTTGTAGATATTGTCGTCGACTAGAAAAAAAAAACAAATCAGCCCAAAATGAAGTGATATTGATTTGGCTTTTGATTTTGCTCCTTTTTTCTGCGTCGTCTTCATAAAAACCGAAAATTAATTTGATTACCAGTCAGTAGAAACACACGATAGAACAAAAATATGATAAAGAATTTCTCAATCGTTAAATCGATCACAGATTGAACACTGCGACTCACAGACACCGAGCATCAATATCGTTCGGGTGGCCGGAACGTGAAACAAGAATAGAGAATAGAAGTAAAAAATGAGGAGAATAAGAAGAGAAAAAAAAACACGACAAAGAAAAAGTATTCAAAAATAACATCGTGAGTCAAATAGGTGCTCTTATGTTGCGAAGTGAATCGATGTGAACGCGGAACGACGCAATCGTTTGAAAAATCGTTATTCTTTTTATTCATTATTGTTGTTCATTGCAAAAGCATTCCGGTCGTTTTTGAGCAGCACTCACACATATTTAAAAATCCGCAACAACAATACGGGAGAAAAAAAGAAGAAGAAGAATGAAAATTATAATTGCTCGTATTTATTACTTGTCGCTGCAGATTTAGTTTTTATTGCATTCAGAACGGAAAAAAAACAAATACAATTTTTGTCTTTAATTCAGTAGTGTTTATTGGTTCTATTTGTTCTACTTTTTTTGTTGTGTGTTAAACACTTTTCAGAGAATCGAATCAAATCGTCAACACACACACACACACACACACAACACTTGGAAATCAATTGGAACAAAAGCGTTTTTTTTCTGTTTCCCGTCATTGTAATTGGATATACCCATTAGAAACAACACTTGCCGACCAAAATGTTCAGCTCATTTACAGGTAAGGTTGATTTTCGTCAATAAAGAGTACCCACAACCCACTATTACCATCGCCAACATTACCGCCACCATCGTGAGTGAGTGAGTGAGAGCTCAGTTGTTCTGTTCTACGAATAATTTGACTTGATTCAATCGATGTAATTGAATTTGACTCTATTACTCATTTTTTTCCTTCCTAAGTTTTTTTTCCTCTTATTATTTTGACTTTTTACGTCGTGCGTACCTGAATGTATATAATTTGCTCGGTTTCTCTCGTGCGCGGAACAGAGAAGAAACGAAACAAATGCGAAAAGAATGAGAAACGGTCACGGTTTTGCTTGTTTTTTTCTTTTATTTTCAATTTACATTTGGTGTTTTGTTTTGGCTTTGAATGGTGGGAAAAAGGGCAACCAGAACATGAATTTTAGATAAGCGTTCGGTGTGCAGTTACTGTTGTTGGTTTCATATTTTTTGTTTTTTTTTTTAGTTCTACTGTTTTTGTAAAAAGTAGGAAACGAGTGTGTTCATTTTTAGCACTACATGGAATGTTGGCTACTGTAGTTGTTCTTTTTTTTTGTTCCGAGAAAATTTTAAGACTTTTTAGGCCATTTTTTTTGGACCGTAAACTAATTCACTTTAATATCTATATTTTTTATTTCAAATACAGCAATTACGCCAAATTGCAAAAATGAAATAATATCATGTTCATGTAATTCAATTTTGAGATAACTCGAAAAAAAATATTTGACACTTTTTTCGTTGCCAATGTGAAATAATGTACAATGATCATTCACATTGAACGTACATTAAAACAATAATTGAAGAATACAATATCATCATATAAATTTATTTGATTATTTTTGACAATATTAGAATGATTTGCATACAAAAAGTATACTACGATTAAAACTATATTCCATGTAGTGCTTACGATACTAATTTGATGAGAAACATCAAATTTTTTTAAACCCGTTAAATTTACAAGCTTTAAGAACGCAGAGCGGAGCGAAGCGATGATCTGCGGTCTTGTTTTTTTCTGTTGCCAATTCTTCATTAAAAAAAACGCTAGGCCGTAAACAAAATACCGAACACTGTACATTTATAACCGATTAAGATTGTAAGTGCGTAGCGGAATGAACCACGGTACCAAACGGTGCCTATATATGCATGCTGATGTGTGCCCTTGTATGTACAAAATATAAAAGTAGAAGAAAAACACAACAATCATAATAATTATAATCGAATGTATATTTCCAAGCGTATAACCAACACATGCATATTGACCATGACCTTAAACATGTAGACCAGCACTTGTGAAACTAATCAATATGGTATATCAACTGTGTTGTTCATGGTATTTCGGTGTCGCTCTCTCCGATAGTAAAGTTCTCAGTCAGGAGGGGGGCAGAAATGGATTGGATGGTTGGTATTTATCTCCAATTCTCCATCTTTTTCGTGGCCACCCGAGAGAGAGAGAACAGACAATTGGCCACGTTGTCCTATTGAATATTTTATCAATGGCACATCATCATCTGCATCGGATTGTTTTTCTTCGTCGATTTTATTGAATTTCAATAATAACCCACCGACACACGCTCGCTTGCTCGCAGCCTTTTAATTTTCCACTTCGATCGGACCGATAGAATGATTGATTCAAGGCAGATGTAGAGATATCCCATCGGCAACAGTAATAAAATAATGAAATCACACGAAACGCAAACCGACAACAACAACAAGTGTATATTGCGCTCATGATTATAGACACACACACACACACACTACACGTCATTCTGACACTCGCCCAATGCGTGATGTCACTTTTCAATGTGCGCTTCTCGAACGGCGGCGCTCTCAAACCTCCTCATCGCATCTCTTGTTTCGCATTCTTTTTTCTTTCATTTCGTTGGCTATTTATTTCGGTGCTATTTTTACATTTTTATCCGTAAACAATCCTCGTTGCGAAATGCAAACTCTAATCCACTTGAAGCGAAATTTTTCGGTCGGATTTTCTATTGTTGTTGTTTTCGTTGAAGCAAGAGAGAGCGATGGCCCGTACATAAAAAACATATACACATAATTTCTTCCTAACATTCTAACCGAACCAATTTCGAATTTGTTGCTGTATTGTTTTTTGGTGAGCCAATCATTCAAAAAAATTAACCAAAGAAACTGGATTCACAGCGTTCATCTATTGAAACGTTATTTTTTGCGTCGCATTTGCACACTGAATTGAATGATACAACCGAACAGCGCGTTGATATGATGACGTCATGCACCTTGTCTTTGAATCGACGTCGCATTTTGTTTCGCCTGCTTTGAGACTCGTCCGAAAACAACGGAAAAAAAAATAAAAAAAATAAAATAATTTATTCGAAAATTCCGCGGCGAGCGATGCAGATGAACACACAATTTCGTGTGTATGTTCTATGTGGCATCGGCGATCAAGATATCATTTGGTATTGAGCATATCTCACTTACTCTAATTTATGGGTCAATTTTAATTGACCTTTTGACTCTGTGATGTCTGTGTCGCATTACGCTCTCGCTCTCGTAACGAGCCGAACGAGAGTAAATTCAAGCATTGAATGTTGTCGAAAGAACGCACGACGAAGGTAACGTCTAATCAAAACTATCTTTCGATGTGCGGGCAAGCACAAATGACGGAATATTCTTGATCATCGCCGCATTTTTAGCATTACATGAAATGTAGAGCTACTAATCTGCTTTTTGTTTTTTCCTAGATACTTTTTGAGTGTTGAAACAAATTATGGTGAATTTGAATTTTATGCTCATATTTTTTATTTAATTTAAAACAGGTGAACTAACGACAAATAAGTGCACAACATCTCAAAGCGCCAACCAAATTTTTATTATCAAATGTTTTTTAAAAATTACATTAATTTTTCGTACAGTATTTTCTGGGTCTTGAACAGAATTAAAGTGACTTTCGATTCCATGCTCATATTATTTATTTAATTTAAACCAAAGGCAGTATATTTCGAAAAAGGAATAAAATCAAGATTTTGTGATTGATTTTGAAAATAAATATATTACTTCAAAGTTACTTTGATGAAATACACTTCATGTAGTGCGCCAAAAAATAGTTTGTTGTGAAACAACAAAATAGATTAAATAACTAAGAACTCAAGAACGCAGAGCGGAGCGAAGCGTTTTTTCTTCTGCTGTTCGTTCATTTGTTCGTGATTTGCATTTGCATGATTTGAGACGAACCGAAAAAAAACCATTTTATCTGTATTTTTTATGACCTTTATCTGCTGTATGATTTGTGAACTTGTGACCGAAGAAGAAGTGACTTGAGCGCATCGCTCATTCAATCTCCCCTGTCTACATCATATTTGAACCATTGCGACAAACAAACTCCCTCAGAATTTTTTAGTTTTGAAGTGCAACATAAAGTTTTTTTTCATATGGAGTTGTTGTTGTAAACTCTAAATAAAAAAATATTTCATGTTGCACTTTGAAACTAAAATATCACGGCCGTATTCAGCCATACGCTTGGGTGCTCAGCTCACCCAAAAATTATTTGAGCTCACCTAAAAATGCTCGACTCCCAAAATTATTTTAGCTATAGTTTTCGCTGTAATTAAGAATCCTCTGAACAATTTTGCTCGCTCCGCTCGCAACTAATTTTTTTTCATTTGAACATTACACAAATTATATTTTTATTACACTTAACCAACATAACTGAAGCCAAATATGATGATTAAAGTGTTGTTGGTTTTGTATTGCCTTAACCCGTACGTAAAATGAAAATCAGTACAGGTTAAGGCAAGTTACGTACGGGTTAAGGCAATACAAAACCAACAACATGAGTTACGAGTACGGCGATACAAATGACAACAGAGAATGATGATTAAAGTAAAAACATTTTGACCACATCAATGCAAAAGTAATTGGTCAACTATATTGAAAAATGTCCTAATTTCTCTAATTATAGTACGATTTTCTAACTGAATACTGAAAATCTATATTTCTGTAGATACGTAATTTCTAGCGAATCGTTTGAGTTATTTTCCTATTGATAATAACTAATTTACAATGGCTGTGGTGTGTATTGGTTTTTCAAGAAATTTCTGCATCAAATTGACAACATCAACACAGTGTAAACCGTTGTCTTAAATTGATATGTTAGTTCTGACGTGGCATATTATAAAGTTCAAGCAATACAATACCAATAACAATTTCAAATTATTACAGACACTAAATTGAATCTGATGGGATTAAGAATCTTGACGATTCGCTAGAAATTACAAATCACGTGTTTCACCGTGATATAGTGTGAATCTGTGAATGAAGCGTTTTTGGAATAAAAGGAATAAAATTCCAAAGGGCTGGGATCTCTATAAAATCACATTTTATACATTATTTGATTATTTGTGGCTTTTACTCTAGACAGAATCGATTTTCAAAATTAATGACATTTTCATAATCATCAAATTTTGCTGCGCTCACCGAGAAATTCTCTCCGCTCATCCAAGAAATTTGTGCTGGCTACGGCCGTGTAAAATATTCTGAGGGAATTTGTTTGTCGCAACGGTTCAATTGTCATTCCGTTTTTTCCCTCTATTCCCCACCCAAAAATCTACAAATTTCATGTAAACAGATAAGAAGCGCCTTTTTTCGACTTCATTTTGTTACGAGAGAAAAGAAGTGCTTTTTCTCGCATTCTTTGTCACAAAATTTAAATCAAATGAATATTTCTGTCTTCGGTGTGATTGATTGAACAATGTAAACAGTCTGTGTGATTGTTTCAACTTGTGCATGTGCTTGAAAGGGAGAACCTATTCTCTTATCTTTTTTTTTGTTTTTTCTGTAACTAAATTTTAAATACAAATGTCTCTGATTTGTCTGGCGTCGGTTTTTTTTTCACACATAAACATACCTTCATTCCAGTTTGAAATGAATTGCGACACTTTACAACTTAATCCATTCTGATCTATCGTCATCGTAGAAATAAGAAGCAGAAAAAATGCATCGATTAGACAAACAACTAACAAACAACTTTTTTCTCTCATCTACTTTTTTGCTTGACTTAATGGAAAATCGATGTTCATTACGAACGACGAAAAAAAAAACTTACTAAATCGCTTCACCTTTAGATGTTTGTGAGTATTGAACGGAAAGAAGAAAAGAAAATATATGAGAAGGCAAACATTTTACAAGCGTTTTTCCATTTTTATTAGACCACAAAATTTTATGCATACAAATAGTAAGCACCCTTTTCTGTTGCACACGAGACCCATCAAACATTTGCAACAACAACAACCACCAAAAAAAAGAACTATGCACAACTGCATTTTCAGTAGCTAGTTAAATTTAAATATAGAGTCCGTTTTTGTGTTCTTTTCTTTCATTCACTGTATTTACTGCTCCGGTCGTAATGTTTGGACGTCTTGATGTGAAATATTAAGCGTCACATTGGTTTACCTCGAACGTTTCTCCATTGGGAAACGAAAAAAAAGAACAAAAACGGCGACGACGGTGTAAAAAAGAAACAGTAGAAAATATACTGAGAGTAGTAGAAAATACGGAAATTTGTGTCATTTTTTCCAAAGTACCCATAGAGACCATTGGAGAATTGTGTATTCACATGTCTTAACGTCCAATTCAAATGTTTATTCGAATGTTTCACATCAAGCACTGATCCCAAAACGTGTCTAGACTATACCACACTTGATTTGCCATATTTTGCACCCTAAAAACCATCCTTTCCTCATCCCAGTAGTCCATGAATAAGATCTTATATCATTCTTGTTTGTAAATACACTTGTCTGAGTGACAAGAGCAAAGAAGAAAACGAAAGGTAGATGTATGCATGTGCATTTGAAAATGGTTTGTCGTTAAATTTTCAGCTCGAATCGTGTTTCTAACACAAAACGTTTTATACGTCAGCATGGCATGAAACAAAAATGGGAATGCATTGATTTTTCTGGTATGTTCTGTGGTCGACGTTAAGTACTTCAACGAAAAAAAAAGAATTATTCATGTATTTATCGCTTGCTATGATGTTAAGGCCCCTGTCCTTCACCGTGGAACACTTTATGATGTGTGTGTGTGAGTTTTCCACTTAAATAATTGATGATGAATCGACCGACTTCACACACCATTTCGATGGATAGCAACCACCCCCCAAAAACACACACAAAAACACACTTGAATCGGGCATTTTGTAATCAATTATGTTTCTTTGTAGCGTCGCTTCGAAATTTCGGTGAACGAACGGTCAATCTGTTTCGTCGCAAGAAAAATACCGCCGAACAAAATGCCCAAGATTTTGCCGATCAAACTGAAGATGCGGCTGTCAGTTTGAAAAATGACTTGAAAAATGATGCCAATGAAATTGGAGAAAATACAGGTTACTATTATTAATTACTCTGTCTTGCGCCTATTGTCTCTCTCTATCATCACAACAATTAATGATTTTCAAAAGAAAGCAGCTTAGTCGACAAACGCAAAATTTCTGAAGAAAAAAAAAACCGAACATTGTTGTTGTTAAAATTGAGTATTTGTTTGTCCCCATGCGAATTGGTCGTTATTGAATGAATTATCTGTGTGTTTTCGATCATTAGACAAACTATTGAAGAAGGGTGAAACGGCATGGAAATCCACGAAAGATGCCGCTTCGTCGACCATTGGAACGGTTGCCAGTAAAACAGAGAAGGTGACGAATACATTGGCCGAAAAAACAACATCGGCCGTTGGCAGTGTTGCTGAAGCAACAAAAGATACCACCTCGTCGATCATAAAGAATACGGCTGAAAAATCGTCAAACGTTGCCGGCAAAGCTTGGGAAGGTATTCACAGTTGGATCTAACGTTTGTTTGTTTTGAGGATGTCATTTTGCATGGCAAAAGATCATTTGAATGGTGCTTCATTTTTGGATTCTTCAATACACAATTTTGAATGTTCAACTTATGATAAAATTTCTCGTCGCCGCATATTTTCATGTGTGAACACCATGGCGCCATTCCGAATGTCTTTTGCCTGATTGCAAAATTATATCCGCAAAATGAACGAATTAATGGATTCTTCAACGTTTGAATAAACAATTATATAGGCACGAAGAACTTAGCCTCATGCGTCAGTGACAAAGCGGCCAAAACCACCGATACCATTGTGGATGGAACGAAGAGCACTTTGAACACTACCGTTGACACCACTAGCAAAGTGGCACAAAATGTTTGGGATGGAACCAAAACGACCGCCTCATCAGTTGCCGAAGGAACGAAACAGGCCGCTTCGAATGTTGCGGAGGGAACGAAAAACGCCGCCTCAACCGTCACTGAAGGAACAAAGAACGTAGCCACCGGTGCTTATGAAGGAACTAAGCATGCCGTTGGTAGTGTTGCTGAGGGAACGAAGAACATTGCCGCTGCTGGTGCTGAAAAAACCGGACAAGCATGGGAAGGTATTGAGCGTCACTAAATGCCAAATTTTACCCAATATTTTGGTTGTTTTCAACAATTCCTCTCTCGAATGCGTGGCTTTCGTCGTGTTAATCAAAAATCTTCTTCTCTCAAATCGATATTTTCTTTCGAATTTTCATTTTTTTTCCGCTTCAAAAGAGACTTCATAGAAAGCTTATGTAGCTTCCTTCTAACCTCGCGATATTTGAGCAGAGATTTGAAATAACCAAAAATATTGTACAAAAATTGTCATCGCGACTTGAAAACTAACGTCGATTTTGGAATCAATTGTAGGCACTAAGAACGTTGCCTCGAACATTGGAGGAAAAGCATATCAAACCGGTGAAGTAATTGTTGAGGGAACAAAAGGTGCAGTGAACACAACCATTGAGACAACTGGAAAGGTGGCTCACAGCGCTTATGATCAAACCGGCAAGGCAATCCACACCGTTAGCGATAAAACATCGGAAGTTGCACACAATGTTTGGGATGGAACTAAAAATACGGCCTCATCACTTGCCGAAGGCACAAAAAATGCAGCATCCTCTGTGGCTGAGGGAACGAAAAACGCTGCTACGACTGTGGCTGAAGGAACGGTAAATGCAGCCACATACGTTGCCGAAGGAACGAAGAACGTAGCCACCGGTGCTTATGAAGGAACTAAGAATGCCGTTGGTAGTGTTGCCGAGGGAACGAAGAACATTGCCGCTGCTGGTGCTGAAAAAACTGAACAAGCATGGGAAGGTAGTACATTGAATGGGAATTGGACATTCGTTCTGAATTTGGATTCAAAAATCGCGATTTTTTTTTAAATGCACTAAAATAATCATAAGGGGATAGAGCAAATTATGGAATACCAAATATCAGAATGAACGGATCAATTGAATTTGTGGCATTGAATTTGATTAAAACCATCATTTCGATTTAGGAACCAAGAATATCGCCTCAAATATCGGACACAAAGCATACGAAACATCAGGAGCAATTGTTGATGGAACGAAGAGCGCCGTTAACACAACCGTTGATACGACCAGCAAATTGGCCCATGGTGCATACGATCAAACTGGCAAAGCCATTCACACCGTTGGTGATAAGACATCGGAAGTTGCACACAATGTTTGGGATGGAACTAAAAATGTTACATCAAACATTTATGATGGAACTAAAAATGCTGCGTCCAACGTTGCCGAAGGCACAAAGAACGTAGCCACGGGTGCTTTTGAAGGAACTAAACATGCTGTTGGAAGTGTCGCTGAAGGAACCAAGAATGTGGCATCCAACGTTTTTGAGGGAACTAAAAATGCCGCTTCAAACGTTGCCGAAGGAACGAAAAACGCTGCCTCAACGGTGGCTGAAGGAACAGTAAATGCAGCCACATATGTAGCTGCTGGAACGAAGAACGTAGCCACAGGTGCTTATGAAGGAACTAAACATGCTGTTGGAAGTGTCGCTGAAGGAACCAAGAATGTGGCATCCAACGTTTTTGAGGGAACGAAAATTGCCGCCTCAAGTGTGGCTGATGGAACAAAAAATGTTGTTGCTGCCGGTACTGAAAAGACCGGACAGGCATGGGAAGGTAGTATCACGCTCATTGGTTCGATTCTTTCAATGAATTCATTCAAATTCGGTTTGTTCGACGAATTTTTCGGCATTTTTTCTGAATTTGGAGTTACAAAGTAAAATTTGATCAGAACATTAGAAACTTTTCCAAAAGATTTTAAACATTTTCCGATCTGAAAATCAAAACCTAATGAAACGCCCGAATGAAATTACTGAAAACGAACCACGAGCACCGGAAATCGAACAAATTGGATAGAAAGAAAAACGGTTGAAAAATAACAAAATTCGTAGGTACCAAGGACTTTGCCTCATCGATCGGTGACAAAGCAGCCAAAACCACTGGAGCAATCGTTGATGGCACAAAAAGCGCTGTAGGCACAACCATTGAGACCACTGGAAATGTTGCTCATAGCGCCTTTGATCAAACCGGCAAAGCCGTTCACGTCGTTGGCGATAAGACATCGGAAGTTGCGCACAATGTTTGGGATGGAACTAAAAATACGGCCTCATCAATTGCTCAAGGCACAAAGAACACAGCAGTAAATGTTGTTGAAGGAACGGCAAATGCAGCTGCTTATGTGACCGAAGGAACAAAAACTACCGCCTCAAATGTCTACGAAGGAACGAAAAATGTTGTTTCTGCCGGTACTGAAAAAACGGGGCAAGCATGGGAAGGTTAGCGATATTTTGTAATTGGATAACTCTCAATAATTTGACTGATGTAGTCGTTTGGTGTTTTTTTTTGAAAACATTGGACGCTTTTGAACAATCACTGTAGAATATACTTGGTTTGATTGTTGCAGAAGAAATTTTCTTCTTCGCTTTTTTACACTCTTCTTCTATGAGATCACTTCTCCGCTCAAAAGTATCGCTTCGAGTTGAACAAAAGCGTCCATATTTCAAATACCAAAACCCAAATCAGTTGAAATTATTTTGAGTTGAAACGAAAGAAAAAAAAACTCGTCACATTCTTCTAGACACCAAGGGATTTGCCGCATCGATTGCTTCGTCGGGCGCAGAAACCACGGGCAATTTGTTCCGTAAATTCAAAGATACCACAACATCGGCATTCGAAAGCACAAAATCGAAAACGGATCAAGTGGCCGACTCAGTGTCTGACAAAGCACAAGGTGCATGGGAAGACACAAAGAATGTCACAAAAGAAGTTGGCTCGAAAACCAAACAGAAGACAAATGAAACATTGAAAAGTGCCGAACAATCGGCTCATTTCTTAGGTAAACGATCAATAAAAACGTGTGAAAATTACACAGCACGGAATTGCAATTTTACTACATGTACTTTTTTTTTCTTCTTCAAAATACAAACAAACAACAACAAAATATAAAGCTAAAGAAACGGCGGCACTTGGAAAAGAGTGTGAAGATAGTGTTGAAGACGCAATTGATACGATCGGCGATAAAAGTGAATCTGCCTGGAACCGAACAAAATTAGCAGCTTATGATGCTGGTGAGCCATGAGTTGTGTCATTTATCAAGATTTGTCATTGAAAAAAATCAAAATTTTAATCCTTTTAATTCTTCGCGCAAACAAAAATTACCACGGCCACATAAAAAAAAAACTTAACAGCGGAAACAACTGGTGATGCAATCAATTCGGGAGTGACATCAGCAGGTGATGCTACTTCAAAGGCGCTTTTCAAACGATTCGAATAGAATTTAACATTTGATATCGTCATTTTCTATTATATATATTCTCTGTCTCCCCATTTTTTTTTAATGTGTAAAAAACAAAAATCTTTGTTGATTGAAAAAAAATATGAAGCAACTGTTAAATCTAACACCCATTGTGCGGAATTGTTTTTAAGAGCGTCCAGGCGTTTTTTTTCAAATTTCTACTAATATTTGTAATGTAATGAACCGAATAATCATTAAATATATATTTATATATCTGATCATTGTGATCGACAAAGAAAAGTGAGACGAATTTCATTACTGGGCAAAACCAAAAAAAAAAATGGCAGAACGATTCGAATTCAAAGCATTTTTTCGGTCTAGTTGTTTTTTTTTTCAATCCTGTATTCGTTGTCGCGAATTGAAAATCTATGCGGCATTGGTTTGAAATTGTTTTGCCACTTGATTTTGAAGTAATGATATTAGATAAAATCATCTTCCCCTCCATCACGATGTGCAGTTGTTAAAAATTCCTGTGTCGTCCAAAAAATCATTCCAAAAATTGGCCGTTTTTAGATATGTAAGTGGACAACAAACAATAAAAAGTATTGCTGTTTTCTTGGCTCAACACGTTCACCCCACCCTTTGAAAATCGCTTGAAAACACACACACACACACACACAAAAATAACGACTATCTCTCGGTTTTGATAATCTGCTTTGGCCGCAAAATCACACACATCTTTGGGAATTTTCTGTTTCGTATTCATTTCTATGGCATTTCGAACAACATCATCTTGTGTCAAAGCATCGAAATGTCAATGCTTATTCTACATGGAAATCTTAACTAACTGGGCGTTTTTTTCGAATTTACCACTAATTGTTGACGACTAATATTGATATACAATTTTATCGATCTTGTGAATTCTGTTCTGATTTTCAAGGGCTTTGTTTGATGTTGCAAATCTTTCTCCAAAATTTTGCTTGTCTCCATTTTTGACTGTTTTTTTTTCTCAGGAACATCTTGAACTTGTCATCGCAATTATATCATACATCTTTTTCATGGCATGATCTATTTTAAATATATATATATATACAATGCGCTAGTTCACTCTGTTCTGAATTTGGGTCGCACCTAATAATACAATCATTTTTATTGTGACAAACCAAATCTTAGTAGTATCCACATAATGCATGCTCAATTCATAATAAGTATTAATTTTTTTTATTTCTACATCGCAATTTTGTTGTGTTAGTGTGTTCGTTATTAATAGATTGAATAATTTGTTATATGAATTTAAAATGTACCCGATTTGTGGGCTGTTTTTGTTTGTTTGTTTGCTTAGCTGCCTTGAAAAATATTGGCGAAAAAACGAGCAACCTCTTTGAACGTAAAAAGAAGGAAGTTGGAGACTTAGCTACCGAAAAAGCTTCAGAAGCTCAAGCCTATGCTGAAGAACAAGCCAAGAAAGCAGGAGAAGCTATTGATGAAACGAAAAATGAAGCAAGCGGCATTTTGAGCGGGGCATGTAAGTTGGATTTGAGCAATAAAATGCTATTCAAAACTATCAATTTTTTCAAAATCTCAGAAATTCTTTTTCGATATGAAATGGAACAATGGTAGTCTGAAACGCATATTATATATCGCGCATAGTGGCATTATATTGGAAGTATGCGTTTTAGGTACATTAGCAAACACACAGAAATGTTTATAAAGAAGAGAAATATTCTTCTCGTCGTTATTTTTTTTTTTTTAAATACTTTGAATTAATTTGAAACAAATCGCAATTTTTCCAGCTGATGATGTGAACGCATCAATCAGCAATGGTGCCGATGCGCTTGACAAGACCAAACAGGATTTAAATGCCTTGGCAGGCGATGCATCGTCGTTGGCTGAACGAGCTAAAGCAACTGGTGGCACTCTCTTTGATCATGCAAAGGGTGCTGCCACTGAAGCTATTGCTGCAGGTAGCAAAGCCGCTGAAAGCATCGTCGATGAGAAATTGAAACAAGCCGAAAATGTAACTCAATTGATTTATTATGCACATTTTTCATTCGCAAAAGATGGTAGAACCATACATTTTATGTGGCTCAAAACTTTATTTTTGCCATCGTTTTTTTTTTTAAGTTTTATACATTTTCATTTACAATTTTCGTTAGAATTCTTAATGGAAATTTGATTTTTCTTATTAACTTTTCTTATTGGTTCAATTCCATTGAAATAGACCTTTGACTCTGGATTGAAATCTATGAGCGGTGTTGTTGACCAGAAAGTCAAGGATGCTAATGCCTATGCTGATGCAACTCGCGAAGATCTTGAAAAGGTATATCATTCGAATCAAATTGCCAACTCATAGAAGTGATTTCATTGAAATCAATTGAGAAGTCGTTATCTAATAAATTTCATGATGATTCTTTTCAATTGCAGAAAATTCATGATGCCACCATCAACGCTCAGAACAATGCTGGCGTTGAAGCCGCCAATTTATTGGGCAAGCTCAATCTGACCCGACCAACTTAAGATGGATTGACGTCAAATGGCGGATGGTGTTTTTATCAACACATCTAGATGCATCTAATCAAGCTAGTATTTAAGAGGGAAAAAAATGAAAAGAAAAAGAAACGTTGATGCATTTATCGTTGAATGTTTAATGTGCTTTATGTTATTTGAATAATATGCATCACCAAATTTAAAGTAAAAAATAAAGATCCACGCAAAACACAAAGATTCAAAAGAAGACTGTGACTGAGTAGACTAATGGTACGATTTTAATACGGAAAGTCTACAGCTTTCAGTGCAGAGTCACGTCCTTCTTTAGAATGCAACTAAATTAACAAGATATATTTTCACATCAGTAACCTTTATCGAGAAATCCATAGCCAAAATTTTGTTTTCACAAAATGAACGAAAACAACAACAACAACAACAAATTCGTGTTCAGTGCAGTTCAATTTCACGAAAATTTTCAAATCAATTGAATCTATTATTATTATTATTTGTTACTAGCACATAAATATTTTATGGAAATAATCGAAAAAAAATGTTATCAGGAGTTGTTTGAATTTTATCGAAACTGGTCTAAAATGAATTATTAAACGATATAGCATTACAATTGCCTTTCTTCAAACGAAAAATCTATATACTACTATTGTATGTTAGACGTGGAAAAAACAGGTCGTATTAAAAGGAAAATGATAGAAACCATTTTATATGAAATCCTTTTCAGTAGCAACATCAGTTCACGGCTGCTTCTTTCTTCAGCTAAATTGGATGGCGAGAACTTGCAAATTACTACATATTTTTTACAAATACAACAAATATGCTTACAAAATTGTTCCTTTTTCAGGGAGAAAATAAAAAAAAATGAAAGAAGTGATAACAAACTATTGTGTTTTTGTCAATTTTTCTTTGTGTTTTCACTATATAGGTGGTATTATAACTCGTAAAGGCGTTCACAAACCTTATACAAATCGGAAATGTTAAACAAATGAGAATGGGAGTACAGCATGCATGTAAGTATTTTACAATCCGCTAGACAACACATTCTGAGCAACAGAGGTGTTCTGAATCAAGATTTATAATTAAAATTCAACAAGATCTAATACACCATGCCAAATATTTATTTGAATTGGATTGAATTTAAATATTCATTTCTAAACTACACAATTTATTTCTTGAATTGCAAACACGCATTGCCGGACCATAAAAGCTAATCAATACACAATTTATGTTCGAATTGTTAGTTTTTCTTCGGCTTCTTTCAGGATTTGAGCCACTGTCCTAAAACCTACATTGAAAATAAATCATAACAATCTAACGATTCCTAAATACGTATAAAATTGTAGGATAATACCTTCTTGTTCGGCTATTTGACGGGGTGTTTTTTGATCAACGTTTTCTGCAAGAACATTTGCACCATGTTCAAGAAGAGCCCGAACTACTTTCACTTGGCCTGGACAGATGATGAAAGAAATTTTAATGAACAGTTAAACTTTTGATATGCATAGATGTGTAAAAGAAGCGATCCTTCTTATGTGCTTTTAATGGAGATGCTTGACTGATTTACCAAATTGAGCTGCATAATGAAGTGGCCTCCTCTTATTATTGTCCTCAGCATCTAAATTTGCACCAAGTTCAACAAGGGCCTGAACTACATCCTCATGGTCTGAAAAAATTTCAAATGAAAAAACAACTTTTTTTCGGAGATTCGGAATGATTTACTCTCAGAAGCTGCGTAATGAAGTGGTGTCGCTTTATATTCGGCTTTAGCATCTACTTTTGCCCCATTTTCAATTAGAGCCCGAACTACGTTCGCATGGCCTAGAAAGATAATGATATTTTTTTAAATTAAGAGGAAAACTCTCCATAGAGTTGTGTGGACGATTTACCTCCAAAAGCTGCGTAGTGAAGTGCTGTGTTATTATTGTCGTTTTTAGCATTCAAATTCACGCCTTTTTTGATAAGGCTTCGAACACCAGCTAAGTCACCTAAATGAACAAAAGCAAATGGTTTTTATTATCATTGTAAGATTTGAGAACAAAACTAATGCGATATGCTGTAGCTCACCATTTTGAGAATATTTCATCAATGAATTCTCTTCGTCACTGGATGCTTTAAGGAGATCGATAGGTCAGATTAGTGTTGAATTCAATGAAATTGTTTTTAAAAAAACGCACCGTGAACAATTATGTTAACAACACAAGCCGCAACTAGGAGAATGATCGCGAATGAACGTCTCATCATTTGCTGCTGACAACTGGAGAGTTTGCAAACGAAACATAAAAACAATTAAGTTGGTTAACAAGCAAAATATTCCATTTTTGATTTTTTTTTGTCTCGATTCAGTTTAACTTTGATACACATTAAATGTAACTAAAAGAAATTATGAGCTTAAATCGAATCGGATCGGTCACTCATCAATTCTGAAAGTATTGAGAAAAAAATACCTTCAGATGATACTAAATACGAAGTGCACAATTGGACTTTGTGGATCAGTAAACGAAGTGGTCTAACTCGAGTCAAACAGTAGCAAGCTAATTTAGAACTAACTGCTATTTTTGCGATGCACACATATTTTATTGGTCAACAGAAAATGCGCTACTTCTTATCTCTGTGGCATACATTTCTGAACAGAATTCACAAATTAAAAAAATGGAATGAGATCAATGCAAATGATTGCAATTGATACGGAATACGATGAAGGAGATTCAATGCATTTATGTTTAAAATAATTTTATGTTATTGTTTTTTTTAAAGATTTTCCTTGAAAATTCTGAAAGAAATCCTCACTGATACACTATTCTGTTATCAATTCTGATCGAATATCATTAGATGCTTGAATGTCCTTGATCCTTGATCCTTGATCTTTGCTATGCTCCAAACATGGTTTGTTGGCAGCAAGATTCAACATTTTTATTTACATTGCGCTGCAATTCCGACATAATTATTAAATGGAAATTCGATTTGGTTATATTTTTTCCATTAGCTCCAAGCTTTATTAGCATTCAATTCAAGAGTGTTTTCGATCATGCCTACAAAATAGTTGATGTGGACGATGTTATTTCTGAAATCGAAAGATGATCAAATTCCTCGTCTAAACAGCCCAATTCGAAGGACTTTCTGGGTGGGATTGATGCTCAAAAAGACTAAAAATGTGTATCAGGTGTGAAGCAGGTGGATCCGTCCAATGTGTTCTGGAAGTAAAGTCCACCACTACTGGCATTGGGAAAGCATCAATTCCTTACTTAATAATTCCCTATGGCCATGCTAAATTGGATTTTTTTTGCCGAATTCTACTCGGATAACTTTATTCGAACGCATGAAAAACCTCGGATAACTTAATTTCATATTTGAAATTCATTAAAATAATTCTATAAGAAACCACTTCCTAAATGAGAATACGAAAATTTGTTGAAAAATCTTCTGAAAAAAGAATAATTTGGCAAAAACGCATCAGGATTTATAATTAAAATTCAACAAGATCTTATTCACCATCCCGAATATTCAATTGAATCGGATGGAATTGAGATATTTATTCCGAAATTATACAATTGATTCATTGTATTATTCGTTTTATTACCGGAACTTGAAAGCTAATCTGTGTATTTATCGACATACAATTAACGTTCGAATTTTCAGTTTGCCTTCGGCTTCCTTCAGGATTTTGGCCACTTTCGTAAAACCTAAATTGGAACGAAATCATAACAATACAACGATTTCTAAATATGTTTGTACAACATTGTGAGATGCTACGTTTCTCTTCAGCTATTTGCCGAGGTGTTTTTTGATCAAAGTTCTTTACAAGAACATTTGCACCATATTCGAGAAGAGCTCGAGTTACACTCTCACTGCCTGGAAATATAATGAGTGGAACGACAATAAATCAAAAAGCTCTAAATCAGATTTGATCGTAATTGTTGAAGTAATTCAATACTTTACTACAGGAACTTGATTTTTTTTAGTAAATGTTCCATATTAAATGTTCCCTTTGAACTTTCTAGAAGGAATCGACACTTCTGACACACTAGTCTGTTATCAATTTTGATTGAATGTAACGAGATTTATTTTGTCTCATTCCTAAACAGTATGATTGAATTTTCCGCCAAAAAAACCCAATTTGAAGGACTTTCTATGTGGGGTATATTAGTCACGACACCGAAAGTGTGTGTCATGAGATAAATTATAATTTCTGATATACCAGCTTGAATCATTTTCGTCATCCAAAATCTCATCTCTATATAATTAAAAATATTTTTCTAGCATGTTATAAACGAACCGCTGTGTTTGACTGTTTTATTCTTTATCAATTGGTGTATAGGTCAATTGCGATAAGTATTTCTAGACAATCGGACAAAATTGCAAACGGTCAAATAAAATGGCAACTGATTTTATATTACTTCGTCTTATACTCTCTCGATTTGAGTTCGAACACTTGAATGAACGACAGCTACTAGATTATTTGGAATTGATTTCTTGATTTCTGTAAACAAATTCGTTTACATTTCCAGAAAATCAATTTTCAATAAATGTCAATCACCAGTCGCAATCCTGCAGTCGTGCACAAAACTTGCAATTCATTTTATTCACTCCAATTGGGAATTTCCAAAGCATTTTCTTAATGAATGCTTTATTTTCTCGACCAATTTATTGAAATTTCAGAAAACAAATTCATTACCATCAAAAGCAAGAGTTTTCGTTGGTTTTATTCTGAAATTTATTATAATAAAATATTCAGAATCTACATTTCGAACTAAGATGAAGCTTTTGGTTTTCAACATCTTCCTACTCACAGTTGGTACGTGTGATTTGATGTGAACAAGTTACCATAGTGTTTCGAATTTATTATTGTTCAACAATTTAATTTGCAATGTTTCAGCTGCCGTTTTCGGTCAAACTTTCTATCCAAAGCATAGGGTTATCAAAAAGTATCATCTCATGACATTAGCGCCGGTAAGGAAGCGAAAGCAAAATGTACAACGTTATTAAGGATTCGGTCTTTCAGTAAATAATATTGGCTTTTGCATAGAGTCAATCATTAAAAAAACAGAGCTATATCCCGTAGCAGATTAATAAAGAGGATTCTACGGAAAAATTATGAAGACACTTCATACATGATACTAAACGCGCAATAAATAATATATGAATCTATTTTTGTACAGGTAAATTGGTTTCGAGCCTTGCACCATTGTCGTTTTCTTGGCATGAATTTAGCGAGCATCACATCTCTTGAGGAAAACAATCAAATTATACAGCAAATTAAAATTGAAGGTAACCCCTGGCTGATATTTTCTTGCAGAATATTATAATCCTTTGTGGACCAATTGCAGGACATGAGCGCAAGCACTTTTGGTTATCAGGCACGAAGCTAGGGTTCAATGATGGTTATCACTGGATGGGAAATGGGAAAACACTGACATTCACCAATTGGGGTGGCTTGCAACCAGATAATCTGCCTAACGAGGACTGCCTCCAAATATGGAACGTTGGAGATGGTCCAATAGATGATTCAATGTGGAATGATCGAAATTGTAGTCACGATCTCTATTTCATCTGCGAAGAAGAAAAAATTGAATACGAATACTGTTCAAGTTGAACGAGGGCGATATCAGCAAACAAGTGTACATTACGAGAGTGTTTTTCATCACGAAAATAAGATCAAGACGGAATATATTTGTCATGATAGGAAAATAAATAAATTCATCGAGAGTTTTTTGCTATTTGCTAATGAAAAGAAATTCATTGTTTAAATACATCGGTGGTTTTACCTCCTAGATATGTTGCGCTTTTTTTTAAAATCTCACTTCGCTTGGTGAACAATCTTATTTACAGGATATTATCACGTAATGTCATTCACATTGCGACAAATGTCATTGATCTGACACTGGCCGGAATGGATAAATGCAAGGAGCCTATCAATCAAGGAATCTAGATGTCCTGTTTTATTTCGGTTCAAATCGGTAAATTGCATTGATTCACCCATTGAATTTGAAGGCAATCACGTCGACGTGATTAGGGGATTCCCGCAACTTATTGTGACGTCTCAACAGCCGATAAATAATACCTATTCCGGCTCATGTGAATTATCACTTTTGGACATAGTGAGAGCATGCGAATGCTAGATTTATGTTTTTAAATACAAATATGCTAACAGCCTTCATCAGAAAGGTGTTTGCATTCAGTCACAAATCACATTGGAAGGGAAATTTGAAGCGAATAAAAATGATTTGGTGCAAAAATTATTTTCCATTGGATGTCGTGAGCAAATTGATAGCGACCGTGCAAAATGATAACATCGCAACACATTCCGGGACGAACTCCAGATTTGAGAGAAGTAGCTACCGATATTTGTCACGTGAAATAACTCAAAGTGAGCAAACAATGAGCCAGCCGGAAAACAAAATCTATTTGGCTGTGGCATATGTTCCTGGCTTAACGGAAGAGTTGGCTAAATCCTGTGAATATTTTGTACCAGAATTGACAACAGCGATGGAACCGACCAAAAAAAGGGGACAATTTTTCGCAAACGTGGAACACTCGATTCCGAAGAAACAAAACAGTGGACTTGTGTATGGAGTTTCGTGCAAAGAATGTTCCAAAATCTACATTGGCGAGACAATCCAAAAACTGCAAAAAAGATTGGATCAACATGAGTATGAATGCAGAAAAGTCGAGGAGGGGACAGCTCTAGGGGTTTCACGCAACTTAAAATTCATCTAAAATTTCAATATTTCTCTCTTTTCTCTCACATTCTCTGGGATTCACCAAAATCCGTATTATTTCGAAATATTTCAACATTCACCTTGAGAATTATGTTCTGGAACTGGGTTTTGGTGGATCCGCAGGATCGTTCAAAACTGCTCCCGGTTCTGGAAGTGGGTTTTGGTGGATCTTCAGGATGGATCAGACTGGGTTTAACAATGCCCTGGTCCATCCTGAGGATCCACTTCCAGAACCAGGAGCGGTTTTGAACAATCCTGAGGATCCACCAGAACCCACTTCCAGAATTTTTAGATTCAAAAAATTCTAAAAAATTCGAGTTTAGAAACCCCTAGAAACAGCTAATTTGAATAAAATTGCGGCACTTGCAACTCATTCAAAGGAGACTCATTCGATTTTGAGAATGCGAACATTCTTAAATTTGAGCGCAATAAATTCAAGCTACAAGTTCATGAGGTGAACCAGATTATAAAACACGAGGAAAATGCTTGTAATTTTAAGACGGACAAAAAAGTACTTATTACAATTTAATTAAGCACGCAAATCGCGGTGAACATCGAATTTGAAAAACATTGTGATATCTTTTTGTAAGCAAGAAAGTCGTAACATGGAAAATCGTAATGCTTGACCTTTCGATGTTTGCATAGTTTAGTTTGACAATTGGCTTGTCATTATTGTTATTCATTTAATAAGAGAGATTGGGTATTTGTATTTTGTTATAGAAATTTACATTATTTCCTATTTTTTCTTTATTTATTTATTGAAAAAAAAACTTATAAATATATTGTTTCAGACCCTGAAGATGGCACGTAGTACCGAAATATATCGGTTGTAACAATAAATTAAAAACTTTATGAGTTTTAATTGGATCGTCTTGGAGGCAAAACAAAACTATCAAACAAACCAACTCACAATCCAGCAATACAAAATCCTAACATAATGCTAACAGCCGTTCTATTTTTGGGGCAATTGCTTCCTTAAGGAATAAAAGAAAGAAATGATGTTTTGGTCATTTTCTTGTATCTTCTGTTGCTGTTGAAAAAAGCCCGATGAATCCCGTCTATCTATCAGGTGAGTTAGCATGAGATACTAGCAGACAAGACAGAAAAAAGGTGTTAATGAGTTAGCTCAGATGCTGATGTTTGTTTTTGCTCGGTGCCCGGAAAGAAATACGAATTTCTCGTTAATTAATTAATTTGTTTTTAGCACTAACACCACAAAAGGTCCCGGCCGAAATATATTGAAAGGACTTTTATGAGTGAACAAGAGCACGAAAGAGGGATGGTTACCTGTGTATAACATTTTCAGCGCGATACTACTACGGTCGGTTCCATGGTATTGTTCAATCTTTAATCAGCGTACATCATTTTAAGTGGATGTGAAACAGAAGCGTATTTTTCACATTCGTCAAAGTAGATATGACGCACGTGAGTGAAAAACTTTTTCTCGTTTTCATTGTCGTCGTCGTTGTTGTTTTTTATTATACGTTTCAAATTGAATAAGTTCGAAAAATCAGCTCACGAGCACCTCTTTCACGTGAAACGGCACTCAATGACCCATTCGTTCAAGTGAATAAAATTTTCATGAAGTTCCTTACTTTTTATCCTTTCTCCGTCCATTACGTTCGTGTGTGTGTATTTTTCTTCTTCTTCTTTCGCTTCTTTGCTTCTTCTGTGTCCCCGTTGTGTTAAAAAGATTTTCAGTTTTATGGAAAATTTCCGTTTTTTGTTCGACCCATTCTATTTTTGTTCGCACTCTATAACTTGACCAATTCTAAGAGATTTTAATTTTAGATAAAATTATATGACTTTTTTCGACCCTCATTCCATCACACCGTGTGGCAAACCGTGCCACTGCTGATGCTGAACATTGTTTGATATGTTCGCGCGTTGCCGAAACGAAATAAAGCAAAATTAAAATGATAATGAAAGTCATTTTCAGCGCACCCAATAGCAAAACAACCTCTGCATAGTTGGAACATCGTCTTCGCTTTCTTTTCGCCTTCTTCTAGTTCGTTTGGTCGTCATGAGAAACCAAATATTGAGCTACTTTAGGAAGAAAAATCATTGCCAATCGATTATAAATATCGAATCATTCGATCATGCATGAAGAGAGAAAAAAAGAAGAAAAAAACACGAAACCATAGCAAATTTATTGCCTGTCCTATCAAGAATATACAATTTTACCAAGTTGCATTAGGTTAATCCCAAAGAATGAAGAGAGAAAAAAAGCGACAAATATTTTAGTACAAAGAGCATTTGATTTTATTTCAAAATTTTCACATAATTCGGAAGCATTTGATTTGGAGGTTTGTAAGTGTATAATTCGGAGTAAAACTGTTTCTAAAATAACGAATTTTCGACGCGATTCATCCCACGGTGGGTTCCTTTAGTAGAAACTTTGGTGCTAACTTCACCATCAATATAGCTCCGCTGGGTGCTGTTAAGACGATTGCCAACACACTGACAATTAACACAATGCTTGCCATATGCTGATATTCCGTCAGATTTTTTAGCCGCACCATGTCTAATGCGATCGGTGCCAATGCAGCCTGTGAAAATAAGAACAACGTACAAATAGATTTCAAAGAGATTTTCTCAATTAAAATAATATTTCCGAAAAATGGAGAAGAAAAAACACCAGATGCAAAGAGCAATTATACTTTTTTCGGGGGAATTATCACTTCTTGACAACGAAATTTACTGAAGAATGTGGAGAAAATGTATAAGTGGGGTTAATTAATTACTTGCCTGCACGGTAGCTTTTGGAAATCCAGAAATGGTGATGTACAATCGTTCTTTCCAATTGAGATCGGCACCATAAGTCAACGCGTAAGACAAAAGCAGACGACACTGTTATTATACATATCAAATAGTACATTGATGAGAAAAACTAATCAAATTGAGCGCACTGAGCAGAGATTTCAACTAGTTCGATCTCTCTCTCTCTCTCTCTTTCATTCTTCTTTTTTCCATTCATTTCGCATGAGAAGAACATCCACTTGATTGAATGAGTTCAGACAAGTGAAATAATAGGCAATTGTGATGCACAAACTCGATTAAATGCTCAAATATTTCAACATAAAATGGACCAAAGTGTTTGAAAGAACAAAAAAAATCGAATCAAATGTTTGTTGTTCAACGAAATTTCGGATCAAAAAGTTTTACACTTGAAAATGACTTACCAGAGAGCCAATAATAACTATTAATACGCCAAAGCCGACAACTTGAGCATCCAGCTTAGAGAACAGCACTTCCTTTCCAATTAAAGCGAACGAAATTGGTTTCACGAATTTCCACAGCAGATTTAGTTTGTCCAATACGTCAACCTGAGGGAGGGAAATGCGAATAAAATTGAAGGGAATGTTCGGATCAACGGAAAAAATAAAACAACACAATTCAACACCGTTTGAATCAAATCGCAATGGTACAGCACAAATCCAAATAAATCCAAAAGGTGCTCTGTTTGAAGTGTGCCCATTCAACCATAAATTAAGTACACAAGCAAATAAACAAACAAATGAATCGATCCCAATGAAGTAAGTTTAGGTCGAAAGAGCGAATGTGTGACCCAATGAACAGCAGAAGTGTAGAAGATTGAATGCGAATAAATGGGAAAGAACTAGCGTGAGCCACAGTAATCAATAAATCACGTGCACAGATAAAAATGAATAGATATAACTTTGTACGGAGGGGATTACACATTACGTTTCTTATGTGCTTTGGTTTTTTCCAACTTCGTCCACAGGCAGCGGCCAGCGTACAACATCCTAAAGCTCCGGCTGACGTAAATCCAATAGCTCGGCTGCCGATGACTGACAGCAAACCACCCAAAACCATCAACATAAACCGAAGACTGTTCGCATATTTCTGTGTCATGATGTTAAATAAACGAGGAGACGGGAAAAAAGACAGATAGGGAGAGAATGGGAGACAATGCGTGTAATGTGGTCAATTGACATAGGTTCGATTTTGTTTCTGCCTATTCTAAAGGCCGAGAAAAACAAAAACAAGAATATGCATTTTCATTTTGAAATTTATTACCGATTTTTCCGATGGTAACACTTTGCTAACCGCTATACCAAACACAAATCCGAAAACAAAGCCAATCGCAATGCCCACCGGACCTTGTAATAATTGCTGGTGCAGTGACCCTATGGAAAAGTGTGAAATTGTTAAAAATGTCAAAACGTTAGATTTTAAAAGAATTTTCTTCCGACAAAATTACAACAAAAAAAATGATCAAAATCCTTCAAATACACTCCCAACACGTGGTTTAATTATGCAAATCCGGTGATGGTCACCGCCGTATTTAATACGAATTCGTTCTAATTTACCTGTTGAAAATATAACACCGAGCACAACATTGAAGCAGAATATCGACAGTACATCGTTGATTGTGGTGACAGCAATGATGATGGTATGAATGCCTTTGTAGAGGCCAAGTTTTTCAATTTTCAGCCAAAGTACAATGTCGATAACGACATTGGGTGACACAGCCGTTATGATCAATCTACGTTTCCATTCATGTGTAAAGAAAGAGAGAGAGAGAGAGAGAGAGTCTTTAGCAAAACAAATTCAGTTATCAATTGGCAATGTCGGCTCATTATCACGATTCGGATTCACGCAGTGCAAAGGAAAGGGGGACCAAAACGGAACAAACAAAATGTCAATACACCTAGAAAGGGAATGTGTTTGAGTGAAGAAAAAAAAGGTATTGAATAGCGACGGAAGGGAAATAAGGTAATCGTGAGAAGACTAATCAAATACACAATTACCCAAGTAAGAAACTCCAAATAAATGGCATTAGGAGTACATATTTGGCGATAACAGCGATGATAAGTACCTCTCCAACCGTTGGTAAAACGGATAATCGTAACACGGGCCATAATTTCTGCACGAGCGCTTTTAAATCGATTCCCATTCCAGCCAACAGCATTATATTCACCAGTGCTAAGTCTCTGTTCCGAGGCAGAGAGTGAGAGTGAGTAAAATTCGATTTAGACTCTTTCATCTTTTTTTTTCTTGGAAGAAAAATTATGCGAAGATGAAATGTGTACCTAAAAAACGCCTCCAGCTCCGTGTATCCATCGAAATTGGCATAGCCCACATTTGCAAAAAGCATGCCAAATCCAATCATTCCAAGCATTTCTGGCCAATTTAGCAGACGCAATACAATGCCAAATATCTGACCGCCGATAAACAGCACGGCCATTCGTGTTGGCGCCGAATCCAGCGTTATATATGCGGGCAACAGTATCTTTCCCAACGTCCATATGATTAATCCGATTCCGAGTAACGCCAGCGGTTGTGATATTTCTGACCAATATCGCACCAAATATCTCCAACTATTTCGAATCTCGCACTTTGTGAATCAATTCAGCTCAAATTCCATAGCATACACACATAGAACACACAAAAAAACACAATAAACGGCATATTTGTTGGGCTGCTTACCATTTTGGACCTTTGTATTCTAATTTTTGCTCATCTTCTGCGGGCGCTTGTGTTCGCTGTGACAGTTCCAAGTTCACCGATGGCACCAAATCACTTATGCTCACTAAATTCGTCCAAATGATCAATTGAAAAATTAAAAACACATGTTTGAATTACAAAAAATAAACGACACGAAAAAACTGAATCTTCAGCTTGAATGTGGAAAATATTGAAACAGAAAAAAACACGCAAAAAATATCAACTTTCATACGGGCTTGAACCATTTTAATGTGTATTCGTTTTGATTTCGTTTAGTTTAGATTTTTTGCTGTGTACGTTATTTAGCTTTGAACCAGACACCGATTGATTTGTTTGTTGTGGGCTGTAAATTTGATGGTTGACTGTGAAAAATGTATGGCATAGCAAGCCTTAAATGTGGATAAAATTTTTATCAAATAAATGATTGAATGCCATTTATTGTCATATGATTTCAATTCACATTAATTAACGTTCAACAAAATATTAACCGATCGAAAGAAATTAAGTGGTTTTGTGTGAGGCACATCAATAATTAGTGATTTATTCGGATACATGTTAATTTGATGGCAATGCACAACTTGATTGCGACAAACGTATACACACAATTCACAGTAATGTATCGCACAATGACGAATCGACTAGTCTCGTACACGTTCTATGGTCGTCATCATCATCGTCGTCGTCGTCGGTGCTGTTGCCGTAGCCACCGTCTCTACCGCTACTGCTGTTATCTACATTGTCGTTTCAATCGTCATTCAAATCCGATGTAGTGATTTTCTTTGGAACAACAATGTTATGAGATAAGATCATCTGACAAAGCAGCAGTGGCAGCATCAGCATCATCATCAACATGGGATTAATTTATCGAGAGCAATCGGTTCATTTGCACCAAAATGGCAAATTAAATTCATCATAATTATTCGATGTGACAATACTGATTAAAATCAAAATCCCCGTTCCCATGATTTGTAAATCGATGCACAATTACTTCATAATGGCACAGACACAACACTGAGCACAACGTGTGTAAATAAAACAATTGACTTACTTGTGTAGAATTTTTTCCCTTATATTCCACTGAATCAAACCATTCAAGGAAGTATGCATTTAAAAGAGAGGGGAAAAAACACTCGAATTTTTTTTTCTGCTAAATGAATTAACACATTTTTAGTGAATAAATTCAACTAGTCTCAGGAGAGTATTCAACCGTATGATAAGAATAATGTGACGATCGAAACACACTACGGTTCACTAATGAAAACAGATGAAATTCGACGAGAGAATAAGTTGTTGTTGTGTTTGTCTGTAGCGCGCGCGAAACTGAGAAGCAAAACTGTCAATTATTCGTGACGTCGGACATGCCATTCCATACGTACGATGAATGAGCAACAAAAATTGCCTCAGTTCTTTTTTCATGTGTTTGCCGTGATAGTGTTTGACTACCGCGCCTCATACGCTCGCTTCTCTCACTCTCGTTTGTGTGTTATTTTGCTTGCATACTAATTCTAGACGGGATCGTCGTGTCGTGCACGTCACACACGTTGATTCTACTACTTTTGCTGTTGCTGCTGTCACAGTTTGCTGTTGATATTTTCGGTACGACGTGCGTCGATTTCCCAGCTACTTACGGTCTCACACTAACATCACATCACTAAAAATCTCGATTCAAAGCAAATAAATTTTAGTACATGATCAAATAGCAACGCTGCGACAAAATAGACGATATAACACCCAACGACAAAATCAAGTCATTAAAGATGCTCCCAACAGTACGATATCTATATCGCATACAACCGATCAATCACAAAATACTGTCGCACACTCTCTCACACACACGCACACAAACACCGTTCGAATTTATCCTCAGTAGCCAGTTTTGCTATCTACGAATGAGATTGCATATTTACTTTGACGGTGAGCCATTCATGTTACCACTTCAGGGCTTTGGCGCAGCATGTTCATAGCTGTTGATGGGCAGTTTGCGTTTTTGAAACATTTTGTCATCAATTTCCACATTTTAATAATGAGAAATGAATTGTGGTTTCAACGAGAAACGAGAATGAATGCAATGAGATGTGAATTTACTGGTCCATGCGATTTGTTGCTGCTATTTTGAGTGAACATTTTAGTTGAAAATCCATTTCAAATTGAAAAGCATGACACACACACACACACACACACACACACACACACACACACAAAACTAGTAAAAAGTGAATTGGTTGGTTCTTTTTTGTCTTCTGGTCAAAGATCTCTTTCGCTCTCTATCTGCCTCCCATTAGATTTTGCCGTATTTAATTTGTTCAAGCCCGGGTTGTTTGTTTCGTGACCATTTGCAATGTTCAACATAAAATGTGGTTTCTAAACCGCACAGTATTTGTTTTCGTCTGTTTTTTTCGTCACACAAAAAAATTGGTGTAAATAAAAATATATTCTTGTGAAGTGCCGCGTGTGTCCACTATATCGAGACCATGTGGCATTCATACACACACAAAAAAACATACAACATACAAAGCCTTTCATTTATCGCACAATGAAATCTAATCCATGGCTCAAAATTTAATTAAAGATTGCATTTTTGATAGAGCCAAAACGTGGAAGAATACCAGCATGTTGGGAAGGGACGCAAATTTTATACCATAGACAATAGCCTCAAGTTCTCTTGATTTTATTGTTGTTGTTGTTGTTCATTCCGTTTGGTTTATTATGCGAAGTATTTTTCACCCCGAGATTGAACTGCTGATGAAAATATATATAAATTGAAGGCGCATTCATTGGCGATGGTAGGATTGAATGAACTATAGCGGGTAAGTGAGTGTGTGTGACGTGCATCCTCTCGGTTGCATGTATCAATCGAAAGGATGGTATTTTTTTTGTATGTTTTTTCGGAGCTGCTGTTCGTTGACATACCACCTGACCATCACCATGCATATATGGCAACAACAACAGCAACACAAATACCGTCGTTGGAAAATTGTTGAATTGTGTACGTCGCTTACCTTCATCGTATCGTGCTGCCACAAACCCTGAATACGTATAATGTTTTTACAAAATATTAACGGTCTGTGTGTCTATGTGGTGTGCTATGTTTTTCATCAATCTAACATTCGTCAAAAATTGATCGAAAATGGAAAAAAGGCGATTCATCGAATAAAAAAGAACGGAATATTCTAATGCAAACACAGAAAAGATAGGAACGAGCGAATTACACATACATGCGCGCCATACACACGTAGGACTCTGTCTCTCTTTCCATCCACGGTGTGTGCTCCAACCAAACACATGTACCGAGACGAATGCAAAACACTGTGGAAAACCGGTGTTTGGTGCCAAGTTCGACGTTTGTTCTATCAGTGGCAAACAGCACATTGCTGAGCACGGATGGTTCTTTTACACTCTCTGAAACGCCAATCCAACTGAGATAATAGTCTCTCCAACTCTCTGTGTGTATGTGCTTCTTTTTTTTTGGAATTTCTTTTGCTCGTGTGTGGTAAGGTTTGCGTTGCGAAAACAAGACGTTAAATATTTTATTAAAAAGTGCACATTTGGCAAACAGTTGTTGCCCGTTATTTTCGTTTTCGCGAGAATTAGTTTTCTTCTTCGCTGGAATTTGTGCAAAAGATGTTTTTTGTTTGCCAGTAGTAATTCAAATAAAATGCATCACATGTAATGCACTTGACGAGTTACAAACGGATTTTTTGAACAAACCTTTCAAGTGATTTTAAAATAAATAAACTAATTCCGGTTAAGTGAAAATTGTGCAACGGCAAAAAGAAAATTAATCGCTGTGTAAAACGAAGTAGTGAATAAACTTTTCCATTTTTCCAAGTGAAACCACCAATAAATGTACGTTCGAAAAGTATGTAACGCGTTGAAAGTACCGTAAGACACATAAACACACGAAATGGAAACGAAAAAAATATTTGCAATTTAACTAAAATATTTCTTCAGTTCAATTGAAAAATGTATGCATGCAGCCATTCTCAATGTGTTTTTTTTCTCATATAAATGCAGTGTAGAGTAAGCAAAATAGGAAGAACAAACCAATTCTCAAACAATTTTACTGCAAGTAGTTTGAAATATGTCACAAAAATGAACGCTAAACTTCGTGTCGCAATCAGAAAAGTGGACTTTTTTCACGATTGGTGTTTCTGAAGCGCGCATAGAAGTTGAGTGATATGGTACAGCAACAGCAACAGCAACAGCAATAACAAAAATGAATATTAGTCGAAGAAAGACAAGCAACAACAGACATTTTCAACGGAAATCGGTATATTTGGAACAAAAACATTTCAAGTCGAATTTAAAAATTAATCCATACTGCGATGCGCAAAAAATATAGAATGAAAGATCACGGTTGATTGAGAATCGTGAGCGTTGAAATAGAAATGTAAAACACAAAACCGATTCGCAAGAAAGAGAGAGAGAGAGAGAAAAGCACGGCTTGGTTAAGCAAATTGCCGTATTTTAGCAAGTCAAACAGAAAAAGCCATTTTTTCATGTCTTTTCCCGTGCCTCGCTCGTCGATCTTGTCGTCGTTTTCTTTTGTTGATTTTGAATTTATGATAGCAATCATGGTTCATATTCTTGATCTGTCTTCTCGGTTGCGTTCCATTTGTTTATTGTTTTCCATCGAAAAGACGCGAAAAAGAAGAGAAGGAATCTCGCAGTCAGTCAAGCATTTGAGATATAAAACTTACACAAACACACATACCATCCACAAGGAAATGTTTCCGAACCAAAAATTCCATTTCAAACTCAAAATGCCATACAAAATTTACGAAAACGAAAAGAAGCCGAAAAAAAAGAGAAATAATTATACGGAATACAGTGTGCGTTACGTTTGCTTTTGAAATATAGAGAATCAAGGAGTGAAGAAGATACACCACACTGAAAAAAAAACTGTTCAAAATCAACGTTCAAAATGAAGTGACACACGCGAAAAAAGCGAGAACGAACTACAGAAGAGAAAAAACATACTGACGAGAGTGAAAGGAAAACGCGTTGGCAAAGCTGTTAGCGAATTTTTTTGAGAAGTAATTTTTCTCATTTCTTTATCATCGTTTGATGAGAATTCGCTGTTGTAATGTGTGCCACCCACGATAAGGGAGGAATGAGAGTGAAAAGTGTGAGAATGAAAGATATCGAGCATATTTGTTGCGTTGTGTAAGAGTCAGACAGGAGAAGAATCGAATCTGCATATGAAGTAGCAGATCTCTTGGAATCATTTTCGATCGAAACCAAATGCTGCTTGTTCCATGCATAATCCTGGTTTGGGATGAATGTATTTAGGCTCGCCATTTCACCTGTTGTCCCGTGTTGTGTGTGTGTTTTGTGTATTGCCATCACCAACACCACCACCACCACTACCACCGCTGGTGGATTTCACACTGAAATTACTTGAAATGTCCCAAACGTTGACGCATATAAATTGCAAATTGCGATGATGTATATGAAAGCACCCTAAGCGGCAACGATGCCAGCCAACTCTCATGAAACTTGTATTTCATCAAAGCGAAAATGTTTAATGTTTCTTAGCGCTTAGTTCAGGTTATTCGCTGTTCGTTTTTTTTCTCATTCGTCTGCTCATTGCTGTTGTTTTGTTGCGTTTTTTTTTCTTTCGCTGCTTCTCATTCTGTTGTGGTGTACGGTGGGTGTGAGTTCCGCTTGAGCCGCGTGCCATTTGTTCTACTTTGGCAGTCTTATTATTTTGTCGTTCATTATTTTTCATGTGTAATTCGACACGGTGCGTTAAATGTGTGTTTGATCGAAGTGTATGGGAAAAGATTGCTCGGGGTCGCGGCGCACTTCTCTCTTCGCCTATGGAAGTGTGTGTGCGTTTGTGTGTATAGAGTAAATGTTCTCTTTTTTTTTTTGTTATTTTCATGTCTAATGCTTATATTTTGACAGATTCCAAGACAGCCGAAAGTGGAACGACGTATCAAATATTAAAACCTTGGCCCACCGCGCTCCACTTCCACATCCCTCCTCCCTCAAGAGAAAGCGAATCAAGAAAAAAAAATATACATACGAAAATGCGAATGCGAAACATATTCATTACATTAATCGTCATTTGGCAAATAATACTATTTGAATGGCAGCGCCGAGGCGAGTGACTGAGCACGAGCTTGGAATGATTCGGCAAGTAAATGCGGTTTATTAGCTTGCTGCGCTATTTCTTTCTGTCACTCACTCGCTACGGCGCTCTTTCAAACGGGAGAATTTGATCAAATATACGCAATTTAATAAGAATATAAAAATATAATTTATATGCACATGTAAAATGAATTGGATGGATGGTGGTGGGCTGTGTTGCGCGTCTTCGACAACAGACGACACACACACACACTTGTCAAGTCGATGGGAGAATAACAAAGGAAAATTCAGGAAAAAAGAAAGTAATTTATTTTAAAAAGCACAATGAAACGTATGAAAATTTCGATTTCGAATTTGTGATACGAGCAACATACTGACGAATTCACTTCGAAGTAGCGAGCCTCGTTCGAATGGAAAAAAAGTACAATTATTCGCAATTTCCCTCACTTTCTCTCTGTTTGTTGATTTGCGCTCATTTTTCTTTTTCAAAAGCTTTGTTTTCTCTCTCACTCTCCGCACACAATTCGATGGTTGGTGTTGATTTCGATCCAATTTGACTGTTTGCGCGTGCATTTGTTTGGGTTGGCGTCAACAAATCTGAATACCGACTATGTGTCATGCACACACGCAAGAAAAAAAAAAGAGAAACGGAACGAAAATGGATTTTCATCATGTTTATGTGAACTAAACATGTGAAAATAGTTTAACGTGATATCACAGTTTTTTAGTGTGTGTATTCGCACACGTTTCTGCGCTCCTTCTCGCTCTTTCTACTCCGGTTGCCTCTTCCGCCTTTTGCACAATTCAACAATAGCATACAGCAACTCATTTCCCAACTGCAACACATGCTCGTTACAAAATTATGAATTTCATGCTCGTATTATCCCTATAAATGTCACATACTTATTTAATGAGTCCCATAATAATCGGCATTGTGGTGATGGAAGTGGTGCTGCAGAGCTGCTATTGCGCCTTCTGTTGCTGTTGTTGTCGTGGCATGATGAGATTACGACAAAAGCACCGCAAAATTCTGCTATTAAGCTGGTAAGCTGTTAGCCACAAGGCATTGATAACATATTTATTCCAAAACATCCCGAATCTCTCTCTCGCTCGCTTTACGCATCTCTTTTATCCATTTCTCTTTCACTCACGCTACCTCTCTCTCTCTCTCTCTCTCTCTCTCTGTGTGTGTGTGTGTGTGTGTGTGTGTGTGTGTTTCGTTGTGTATGTCGCTCATTTTTTCCATTAATATCAAACTTTTGTTATGCAAATTAAATTTGAAACGCAACGATTTCGATCTTATCATTTCTCTCTCTCTCTCTCTCTCTCTCTCTCTCTCTCTCTCTCTCCCGTTCGTCAACACAACAAGATTTTGAAAAATCCAGCGAATGCGTGAGTGTATGTTTGGGATTGTGTACCGTTGTCGTCTTTGATGTAAACTGATGAGCGCTTCCATACTGCCAAAACAACAACAATAGCACCAACAGCAGAAAAGAAAATTGTTCATTTAATAAAATTCGCATTCGAGATTCTTGGTACAACGAAATTGATTCGTCAAATGATTTACGGTGGCAATGCAATTGGATTTTCCATTGTGTTGAAATCCATGCGATATCTGCTATTCGTTTGATATTCCCTCAATCAATTATTAAATTTGCTGTGAGGCAAAAGGCGAGGCCAGCGAATAAGCGGGCCCAAAAACACAAACAATGAGCCAACCGAAAATGAAAAGTCTATTAGATAGAGGATGCGCGCTGGAGTGAGTGAATAAGCGTTGGCTCATAAAAATCAAATTAGGAACTAAGCCAGTGTGCACTGTCAAAGCGCTAAAGTGCGCTTAAGACACATCGACGAATCAAAGAACATGCACACAGATCGTGTAATCAGCAATTAACCGAACCGAAATAAAAACACGAATCAGCTTTATTAGCTCGTCGATAGAAAAAAGAGACAGAGTGAGAGAGAAGCAAATAAATCCAAGTAAAACATAAAAACGAAAAGCATGAGATTGTCGAATGCGATTACAGAGGTCGTGGTCCGAATTTCATTAGGCAGCGCAGAGACAATGTTGTTAGTGTGAGAGCGGCAAACAGAAGAAGAAGAAGGAAAAAAACAGAAGGAGGATGGTCTCAAAACGAACAATGCTCATTTCAACACAAAAGCATAGCAACAAACATTCCACTCCAATTCATTACTTTGTGTGCTCTCTCTCTCTCTCTCTCTCTAATCATTTTTATTACTTTTCACATAAACATAAAGTACACAGTGCAAAAATGCCGAATGTGTGTGACAAAGTCAAAACGGCCATTTACCAGAGCACCTTCAAAAACAATGTTGCTACGAACCGCACATACACATATAGTAAATCGCTTTGGAATGTCCAACTTGAATTTTGATTAAAAAGAATTTATATGAAACGTTTGCTTTCCTCATAATCCATCTGATCATAGTTACAATGCGTTAGCACGCAAAATGCCCGTTCCAAACAGCTGGAAAAAAACCAGAGCAACAGAACAAACACACATGACTAGGAATAATATGAATTTGTAGCTGTGCCGCGTGCAAATTACTTCTGATTTTCTCTGAGGCTCAAACGATACGTGGCCGGAGCTCATAACTAGAATATAACAAATTTTTATTGAAATCTAGCAAGAAATTATGTTGTTTTTTTTCTGTTTTTTTTTTTGAGGGAGGGGTGCTGAAAATAGAAAGCACTCTTCGTTGAATTGCTGAAAGCATCTGAAACAAGCTGAAATGCAACATCGCGATGACATTTGAAATGAAATTGCTTGCAAAGAAGGTGAATCTGGTGAAGGAAAGCTCATTTTCCGCAAAGAACTCATCAAAAACGAACAAGAAGACAAAACAA